CAGGGTGTGGGGGGGTGAAATATGGTGGGTGCTGTTTGCTCTCAGGCATCTCAGCCACATCCCAGTGAGCAAACAGGGCTGTGCTTTGCAACAGAGGAGCAAAAAAGCTTGGCTTTGTCTGGGAAGAGACCTTGGCCCCAGCTGGACCCCCTCGTTGAATCGTGGTCCTTGCTGGGCTCATTGCCTTTGGCACGAGCTGCCCCCCAAAAGGGCCCTGCCTGGATGGCAGCATCACCAGGATGTTGTGGGCCTGGAAAACTGCAAATGCCATCCCAATGTTTGCGATGTTTGCGCTTGACACAACGCGAGAGCAGCGATAAGTCGAGCCCAGGGAATAAACTTGAGGCTTGTACTACCTGAGACCCTCAAGCTATGGCCATAAGTCCCCTTCTCCTGCATCCCTCAGCCCTCGCAGATCTTTCATGATGCCCTAAGATGCCCCATCCCTGGAAGTGTTTAAGGCCAGGCTGGATGGGGCTTTGAGCCACCTGGTCTAGTGGAGATGTCCCTGCCCATGGCAGGGGGTTGGAACTCGATGATCTCTAAGGTCGCTTCCAACTCTAACCATTCTATGACTCTATGATTCATGGGTCGCTGCACGTCTCTAAGAACTCGCCCTGAGCTGCAAGATGGGATTTGTTCCTCTCTGCCCCCCCTCTGTGGGGCTGGTTCCCCCGTTCCTGTTATTTACACCCGGCGCTATCAGTTCCTGACTATCTGCAGCAGAGAGGTTTGTGTAAACTGCTGCCGCTGCGGTTCCAGCCTGTCTCACGGTCACCAGTTCCTGCGCGGCTCTTCCCGTCGGACGGGTTTGTCTGACTTCCTCCAGGGATGGGTGCAGGTGGTGGAACGGGTCTTAGTGCTGGCACCTACAGGAGTTTGTGCCCCGAGACGGGCGAAGGCCATGGCTTGTTCCTGCTTTGTCAGGGTGGGGGATTTATGTGCCCTGCCTCGCTGCTGCCCGTTCAGTGATCCACGTTTGATCCATGTAGGATGGAGAGTCCCCGCTCCCAACGCTCCACGGCTGGTGCACAGCTCTGTGTCCCTCAGGGAGCTCATGCTGGTGTTGATGCTGCACCATCCGTGGCCTCGGTCTTGACCTTTCACTGCCAGCCCTTGTGTGCCTCACTCTTCCATCTCTTTGCAGGGATCAACACCACAGATATGGCAGTCGGCATGTCCCCGGCTCTCCCTACCTCCAACTCCACCACTGCAGGCACCATCCCTCCCTCCAGACCTGAAACCCCCTCCCCAGCAGTGAAGATGGGTGCCTCCACAGTCAGTACCACTCTGCAGGAGAAGGGTGGCACAGCCCACAGCACTCCTGGGTCAGCTGCCGGCACCACGGTGCAGCCTGACCCCACTCCCACAGAGCTGCGGCTCACCACTGTCACCCCAGCTGCAATCCCCAAGACACCCGACTGTGCTGAGACGACCCTTGTCACGTCTGTGGGGACCAGCTCGGCCCTAGCCACCACCTCGTTTGGAATCAAAGCAAGGACACTGTCTTCCCCCACCTCCATTCTTCTCTCCCCGACTCAGGTGGCCACCACACATGGCACCAGCCAAAGGCCAGCTGTGACCACGCTGCTCAGCAGCACATCCCCAGGCACTGGCAGTGCCTCTTCTCTGACAGCCACCTCAGATGAGCCGTCAACCACCCCGTCAGACACCACGGCTGCCCTCACGACCAGCATGGAGGCCACTGGGAGCACCCCCATCACCAGCCAGCCCAATGGGACCACGACCAGCACCAGCCCTGGTACCTCCCCCTTGGCACCTAATACCCCCAGTGCCTCCGCGGGTCGGGGCAGCCACGGGGCACCCGTGGGGCAGGGTGACAAATCCTGGAGGGATCTCCATCCAGGCTCCTGGTTGCTTCTCCCAGCCCACAGCCGGGCCCCAGCCCCAGGGCAGCCACCCTGTCCCCACGCTGCTCCCCGTGTCCCAGCCGGGCTTGGCCACCCTGTCACGCAGTGGGGACAGGGGGCTCCAAGACCCCCATGCTGCGGGTGGGGGTGGCAGCAGTGGGGTGGTACACCCCGGTCGTGTGACTATGTCCCGGCTGTACCCAGCTGGTATGACTGTACCCCAGCAGTGTGACTGTACTCCGGTGGTGCGACTGTACCCCAGTAGTGTGACTGTACCCCAGCTGCTCCCCAGCAGTGTGACTGTGTCCTGGTGGTGTGACTGTACCCCAGTGGTACGCCTGTACCACAGTACTGTAGCTGTACCCCAGTAGTGTGACTGTACCCTGGCTGCTCCCCAGCAGTGTGACTTTGCCCCAGTGATGTGGCTGTACCCTAACAGTGTGGCTGTACCCCAGTGGTGTGCCTGTACCCTGGCAGTGTGGCTGTACCCTGGCAGTGTGGCTGTACCTCGGCGGTGGGGCTGTACTCCTGCTGGGCCACAGCTGTCTGGCTGTGTCCCCAGTAGTGTGCATGTACCCTGGCAGTGAGACTGTATCCCAGGAGTGTGACTGTACCCTGGCATTCCCCCCAGGCAGTTGTGCCCTGGCAGTGCCTCTCACTAGGCACGTGTGACCCAGCCAGCAGTGTGGCTGTCTCCTGGTGATGTTGCCAGATGTCTTCATGCTGTGGCTACACCTGTACCCAGGTGACACCCCCCTCTAAGGGTGGGGTGTACCCTGTGCTGGTATCAGAGGTGCCTGTGGTGTCCACTGTGGTCATCGAGGACTCTGCCAAACCTGGCAGGGAGACTGTAACCTGTCCCTGGTTGTGTACATGCCCCTGGTGCACAGAGTACCCGTACCCTGGCCTGATGCCTACAATGTGAGAGCACTGTGAGAGTACCCTGGTGATGCCCTTGGAGCGCCTGTTCCCTGGCAGTGCCCCCGTGTACCTGTACAGCAGCAGGGTGGCTGTGCCCTTGCAGTCCTCCAGTGTGCCCGTCCGTTTGTGAAGTGCCTGTTCCCTGGCCCAGTGCCCGCAGGCGCCTCCGACTGGTCTTGTCCCTGACCCCGAGACGAAGGAAACGGCTCTGGCTGCCAGCAGCCGGAGCTTCAGCCGTGACACGCTGTGACACGGGGAAGTGATGCCGGTGCAGACAGCCCAGAGAACAAGCCCTCAGCCTGGAGCACGCCCTTCCTGAGTCTTGCCTGTTCTCTTGGCCAGTTCCTCGCGCTCACAGCGAGCTGTTGGCTCCTGAGGGTGTTGGTGCTGGGAGCACCGTCCATCACCCCTGTGGCAGGGGACAGTCCCAGGCAGCCTGGCTGCTTCCCTGGGCTTTTTGCCGTTGAGGCTGTCCCTCCAGCAGGCAGAGGACGGCACAGTCCCTGGCTGCAGGGACCTGATCTGCTGCAGCGGTGGCCCTGCTGGCCTGCCCTGCCCGCTGCTTGGGTCCAGCCGTACAGCTGATGTCTGCTCAGCATTGCGCTTGTCCCTGGGAGTGTCTGTGTCGGGTGGAAATCCCCCCTTCACTGCCAACACCTGGGGAGTAAAAGGACCCACCTGGATGCTCCTGCTCTGCCGGGTAAAGGAGACACAGCAACCCCTGTGCTGGGAGCGCTCGGAGCGGTGCCTGCAGGGGGGGGGGAATTGGCTCCTGCCTGCCTGGACATGGCTGGGCAGAGAGGGGGGCTGCCCCTCACCCTGCTGCTGAGCCTCACCAGCCTGGCCGTGCCTCACCTCGCACCGGGTAAGGGCTGAGCGGGACGCGATGCTCTCCACGGGACGGGTGGTGAGTGGGGGGCATTGCTCCCTGGGATGGCGGGGGGCTTCGCCTGCAGCAGGCGGGTGGTGGGGTGCGGTGGGTGAAATGCTGTGGGTGCTGTTTGCTAAAATGGGAAGCAGAGGTGGATTTACAGCTTCTCCTTTGTGTGAGGATGGGGCCCTTCAGTGCAGACACCCACCCGGGCACAGGTTGGGATTATTTAACTGGCTGCTCCCTGCCACAGCTGAGGGAGGGAGCAGCTGACGGTGGTTTGGGGAATTTATGGGGGGGTTGGCTGAAAGCAGCCAGTAGCTTGTGGCTTAGTTCTCTATCCCCTTGTGAGCAGAGCCCAGACTCACAGGGTTTGTGCTGGGATCACTGGGGAATCCAGCCTGGTGTCTCAAAGTCTCCACTTTGCAGGCACCCCCTGACAAATGCCTGGGCAGCCAGGCTCTTTTGTCCATCCTTTTGGAGAGGGTCATGAATGCCTGGGCTTCCTCAGGGACAGCAGGCTGTGGGGTCTGTGCGGGCAGAGAGGATGTCCCACTTCCTTCAACACCCCCCCCGCGCTGCTTGCATGAGCTGCTGCACGTCTCTAAGAACTTGCCCTGAGCTGCAAGATGGGATTTGTTCCTCTCTGCCCCCCCTCTGTGGGGCTGGTTCCCCCGTTCCTGTTATTTACACCCGGCGCTATCAGTTCCTGACTATCTGCAGCAGAGAGGTTTGTGTAAACTGCTGCCGCTGCGGTTCCAGCCTGTCTCACGGTCACCAGTTCCTGCGCGGCTCTTCCCGTCGGACGGGTTTGTCTGACTTCCTCCAGGGATGGGTGCAGGTGGTGGAACGGGTCTTAGTGCTGGCACCTACAGGAGTTTGTGCCCCGAGACGGGCGAAGGCCATGGCTTGTTCCTGCTTTGTCAGGGTGGGGGATTTATGTGCCCTGCCTCGCTGCTGCCCGTTCAGTGATCCACGTTTGATCCATGTAGGATGGAGAGTCCCCGCTCCCAACGCTCCACGGCTGGTGCACAGCTCTGTGTCCCTCAGGGAGCTCATGCTGGTGTTGATGGTGCACCGTCCGTGGCACAGCCTTGGTCTCGACCTTTCACTGCCAGCCCTTGTGTGCCTCACTCTTCCATCTCTTTGCAGGGACCACCGCCTTGGATGTGACAGAGACCGTGTCCCTGGCTTTTCCTACCTCTCTGACATCTATGGAGACCTCATCAGTGGTGTCCACCACTGACTCCAGCACCACAGGCACCATCCCTCCCTCCAGCCCTGAAACAGGAGCCTCCACGCTGGAGACATCCCTGGGGACTGACAGATCTTCACCTCCCATCGCATCTTCCCCGACTGCACCAGCATCGCCAGACACTTCGGCAGAGTCCTCGATGACCACAGGGGACACCACAGGCACCTCTGATACCAGCACAGGGTACAGCACTCCCAGCCAGCCTGTCGAGACCACGTTTGGGATCACCTCTGGTACCTCCACTGTGACTATGGAGACAACCCCAGGCACCTCGACAGTACCTGAGACCTCCAGTGCAGCCACGGGTGAGTGCAGCTGCGAGATGGGCAGGCGCAGGATGACAAATCCTTGCAGGGACACTGGGCATGTATTTGGGTGGCTTCTTGTGGGTGGCTTGGTCCGTCCCCAGCTGCAGGATCACCCTGCGCCTCTCTGCAGACAGTGCTAACGTAACATTGCTTTGCCCAGGCACGGAGCCCTCTCCAAAGGGCAGGCGCGGGGTGACAAATCCTTGCAGGGACACTGGGCATGTATTTGGGTGGCTTCTTGTGGGTGGCTTGGTCCGTCCCCAGCTGCAGGATCACCCTGCGCCTCTCTGCAGACAGTGCTAACGTAACATTGCTTTGCCCAGGCACGGAGCCCTCTTCCCCCACCACCAACTCAACCCAGACTACAGACGATACCCTCAGCACCCCCACAGACCTGACAACGACAGCGTTCTGCCCCACCACTGCATCCAGCACCGGTAAGTGCAGTGCCCCATGGGCATCACCACCTCCCCAGCACTGATGCCTTTGGGCTTCCAGGGGGCCAGTGCAGGAGGTCCTGGAGCCCCACTGCTTTTGCTCTGCTCTCAGTATGGGGGCATTGGTTCTCTCTGGCATGTGTGATTTGCTCTACAGGTAGAGTGTCATTCTCCTGATGGTGTAGAGTGTCTGTCCTGAAGGATGTCCCGTGTCTGTGCCAGAGATCCTGGGCAGAGACTCCCAGGTCCTTTCGGGCAGCCCAAGGGCAATAACCAGACCTGTACTTTTTGTCCCCAGGTCCGTCTTACCTCTTTCTGTCGCTGCAGCTAACCGTGCCCAAGGACCTGGGGAACACCACAATGCAGGAGCTGCTGTTGTCCAAGGTGAGGTGTGCTGGGGGGGTGTGTGTCCCACTTTGCATCTGCCAGCCATGGTCCGGCCAGCCAGGGAGGGGGTCAGGCAGGCAGTGGGAGGGGAATGGCTGGGTCTCACATTGAGTGTCACCTGGAGCCTTTTTGGATGAAGGGGAGACTCTCCTTTGGCTGCAGTGGTCCGGGATCAAGCCCTTACCATGTGGGTAAGGGCTTTGTCACAACTTGATGGTTGTCCTCTCTCCCCAGCTCCGTGAGGAACTGCAGACGACGTTCCCATGTGCTGGCCTGGGGGTGGAGTGGCGAGGGGAGAGGAGGACCTGACCACTGCTCCTTGCCCGGCCAGGACCTTCAGGGCTGGCACCCCTGTCAACTGGCAAGCCTTCTGCTCCCAGCTCCTTACTTCATGGTAGTGCAGCCTTTTGGGGTGACCTGTACAGCTCCTCCTAAGCCTGGGACCCCCTGTCCTTCACTGCACACCCCCAGAGGACCCCCAGTGGGCTGGAGTGCCCCTTTCCCTTCCTGTAGCCTGTCTGTAGAGCCCGAGACCTCCCACCGCCCTGCACCAGACCTGCCTCCCACGGTGGGACCCCCCCAGAGCTGCTGGGAGGAGGGGACCCGGCAGGGCTAGGCCTCAGCCATGAAAACCACCCTGGGGACCGACGGATGAGAGAAAGGAGACCTGGAGCCACTGGTACTGCTGTGCTCTGTGATGATGACCTCAGAAGATCTGCAATCTGGGGAGGCTGCGGTGCCCAAGATCTCTCAGAGATGGTCCAGGGCTGTTTCACAGCCAGAGTGGGCCAGGATGGAGCCCGGGGATGCCTCTGGGAAGGAGGCAGGAGAGAAAAACCCCTCTCTACCCCTGGAGTCTCATCCTGGGACCGGCCACGCTCCTGAGCCCTGTGGCGCAGAGGGCGAGTGAAGCCAGAGCCCGGCAAACCAGCTCTCCCCTCCTTCCTGGGGAGTCATTGACAGAGAAGCACAACCATGCCAACACGGATGGGGAACAGAGGGAAATTCCACCTTTTTCGTGCCAAAGATGATGACTGATTTTTTTTTTTACAAGTTGACTTCCCTGATTTTCAGCGTCGCCATCTAGCAGAGGGACTGGCAAGGAAAATTGGCTGAGTCCCCAAAAGCTTCGCAGCAGAGAGACGGTCTCAGGGCTGTCCCCTCCTGGCAGCGGCCACCACAGACATTCCTGAGGACGGTTCAGCACCCCGACAGGCTGGGGGTCCCTGCTTTGGTGCTCTCCACCCCATGGCGCCTCACAGCTGCCCAGGCAGCTGAGCTCACCATGGGGCCGTGGAAATCCCGTGGGCTGTGCTCCTTCCCTGTTTTTTTCCAGTCCCAAGCTAAGGAGACAGCCACAGCGTCTGTCCCCCTGCAGCAAAGTCATTTATTAACTGATTAATTAGCCAGATAAAATCCAACCAAAGCAATTATTAGCCTAAGCAAGTCACCTCGCTGGGAGATTGAAAACTGAAATAATTAGCAAAAGAGCCGTGTTGTTTGTCGGGGCTTATTTTTGGCTGATCTCTGCTCCTCCCCGGCAGCCTCTGCTGGCACGGGGAGGGTTGGAAGGGGGTGCATGGGGCTGTGGGATGCCAAACCTGGGGGTGGCTCCTGGGATCCCCGGGTTGTCACCCGGCTGGGAAGGTGCCAGCAGCTGGACAGGATGGGGAAAGGCAGCTTGGGATCGGCCGGCTGCCTGCCAGCTCGCAGGGTCTGGGAGAGGCTGGGCTGGGGCTGGAGGCTGAGCCCCGGCAGCTGGTCAGGATGCTCCCGTTTGGGATGCTCTTTGCATCCCAGGGTTGCCCCTTTGCTCTCTAGGATGCTGCCTGGCTTCTGGGGGCTTCTTGGAGATGTTGGTACCAAGAGAGGTCCCTCAGCACCCAGGCAGGGAGCTGGGGAGCAGGGCAAAGGCTGCTGGAAGGGGTCCCTGTGCCGGAAGCCTGGTGGGGCGCTGGGAAAGATGTCCGTGTTCTGCCTACGCCGTGGAGCTGGGCCAAGAGTCCTCCCACACCACATCCCACCGGGCTGATTTCTCCGGCTGTTGAATCCATAACTTCAGACCCCGGGACATGGCTGTGGGCCAAGGCCAGGGTAATAGAGCCAAACTGCGTCACAAAGGGAGGAAAAGGTCCTGAAGTGCTGGGATGAAAAGGTGACCGGGGCACTCGCTGTCCCCTGCCAGCATGGCTGCCTTCTACCGATACCATGGTTGGGGGGTGGTGGTGGGGAGATGCTCTGGTCCAGCTGAGGCCCTCTGCCCCCCAGCCTGGGAGGGAGAAGGGGGACAAGACTCCCATGGGGATGGTGGGCACTGCTCTGGCACTGGGGACACAGAGCTCTGACAGGCTCCTGACCTGGCCCACTGGCTACCACCTTCACCCTACGGCTGCTTGCCAGCCACGGGACCCCTCACCAGAGGGCCCTGGAGAGGTCAGATCATGGTCCTGCTGTTTTCCCAGCCTGTAAATCGTTCCTCAGACTCTTCGCTGTATCCTGCTCCCATCTGTCAGTGTCGTCCTGAGGAACAGACCTTGTGCCCAGTGGCACCGTCACCTTCAGAGGGCTCAGCAGCATCACGGGGTGCGTGTTTTGAGTCACCGTCCCCTTGTGACTCAGGTGTCCCTTCCAGTGTCCCCCTCCCCTTCGCCCCCGCTGGTGGCTATAGCTTGCCTCCCACCATGGGGCAGGAGGGTGTTGCAATGCGCCAAGTCACCCAGAACCTGCAGGTTGATGGATAACCCGGTTACATCCACCACCACCCCCGAGCCCTCTCCAAATGCCCTTGCCAGGAGGCCGGAGTGGTGCCAGTAGGAGATGCCTGGATCTCTGCAGGGTTGGAACAACCAGCCCATTAATTCCAGGAAGGCTGATAAGGTGCTGTGCCGGGCTGTGCCGGGCCAGGCCGGATGGTGCAGAGCTCCCAGGTGCTGGGATTCATGGCATTGCCACCTCCTGGCTGTAGGCTTCCAAGGGGCTCTGGTGCCCATCCCATGCTTTGGTCCTTGACAGCCATGGATGACAGTTATACTTGCAGGAGCCAGCAGCTTGCTGGGACCTCGATGTCAGGGGCAGCAGAAGGATCAATGAAAAACCCCGGGTTGTCACCTGGCTGGGAAGGCGCCAGCAGCTGGACAGGATGGGGAAAGGCAGCTTGGGATCGGCCGGCTGCCTGCCAGCTCGCAGGGTCTGGGAGAGGCTGGGCTGGGGCTGGAGGCTGAGCCCCGGCAGCTGGTCAGGATGCTCCCGTTTGGGATGCTCTTTGCATCCCAGGGTTGCCCCTTTGCTCTCTAGGATGCTGCCTGGCTTCTGGGGGCTTCTTGGAGATGTTGGTACCAAGAGAGGTCCCTCAGCACCCAGGCAGGGAGCTGGGGAGCAGGGCAAAGGCTGCTGGAAGGGGTCCCTGTGCCGGAAGCCTGGTGGGGCGCTGGGAAAGATGTCCGTGTTCTGCCTACGCCGTGGAGCTGGGCCAAGAGTCCTCCCACACCACATCCCACCGGGCTGATTTCTCCGGCTGTTGAATCCATAACTTCAGACCCCGGGACATGGCTGTGGGCCAAGGCCAGGGTAATAGAGCCAAACTGCGTCACAAAGGGAGGAAAAGGTCCTGAAGTGCTGGGATGAAAAGGTGACCGGGGCACTCGCTGTCCCCTGCCAGCATGGCTGCCTTCTACCGATACCATGGTTGGGGGGTGGTGGTGGGGAGATGCTCTGGTCCAGCTGAGGCCCTCTGCCCCCCAGCCTGGGAGGGAGAAGGGGGACAAGACTCCCATGGGGATGGTGGGCACTGCTCTGGCACTGGGGACACAGAGCTCTGACAGGCTCCTGACCTGGCCCACTGGCTACCACCTTCACCCTACGGCTGCTTGCCAGCCACGGGACCCCTCACCAGAGGGCCCTGGAGAGGTCAGATCATGGTCCTGCTGTTTTCCCAGCCTGTAAATCGTTCCTCAGACTCTTCGCTGTATCCTGCTCCCATCTGTCAGTGTCGTCCTGAGGAACAGACCTTGTGCCCAGTGGCACCGTCACCTTCAGAGGGCTCAGCAGCATCACGGGGTGCGTGTTTTGAGTCACCGTCCCCTTGTGACTCAGGTGTCCCTTCCAGTGTCCCCCTCCCCTTCGCCCCCGCTGGTGGCTATAGCTTGCCTCCCACCATGGGGCAGGAGGGTGTTGCAATGCGCCAAGTCACCCAGAACCTGCAGGTTGATGGATAACCCGGTTACATCCACCACCACCCCCGAGCCCTCTCCAAATGCCCTTGCCAGGAGGCCGGAGTGGTGCCAGTAGGAGATGCCTGGATCTCTGCAGGGTTGGAACAACCAGCCCATTAATTCCAGGAAGGCTGATAAGGTGCTGTGCCGGGCTGTGCCGGGCCAGGCCGGATGGTGCAGAGCTCCCAGGTGCTGGGATTCATGGCATTGCCACCTCCTGGCTGTAGGCTTCCAAGGGGCTCTGGTGCCCATCCCATGCTTTGGTCCTTGACAGCCATGGATGACAGTTATACTTGCAGGAGCCAGCAGCTTGCTGGGACCTCGATGTCAGGGGCAGCAGAAGGATCAATGAAAAACCCCTTCCCAGAGTGGGAACAGGGCACCATCCCTGAGATGAGGGATGACGCATGGTGACTACAGGCTTTCCTGGGGCGGCCTGCCAACACCGAAGCTTGGTTGGTCACATTCATGACTCTGCTGGAGGAGCAGTAGGGAGACAAGGCTTTTTGAGGGCAGCATGGGCTGAAGGAGTAGGCACAAGGGTCTCTGGATGGTGCTGGTCCCAGCACACCACAGGTAGGACCTTGCAAGTGGGCTGAGAATGAGGTGGGCTGGAAGCACCTTGCTTCAGCAGAGTTATTTTCCCCTATGCCGAGCAGCACGTTTGCAATGATCCCTGTGGTTCCCACTATGTTTTGCACCTTAAATACCATCTGGAGCAACTCTCTCCAACGTCAGCACATATTCCCCGCTGGGGTGGCTTTCCAAAGCCATACGGCATCATCAGCACGGGCAGGACCGACTCTCCCATAGTGGGTTTGCATCCCTCTAATCCTCCATCAGCCCAGGTGTGGTGGCTGCTCGGGTGGTCGCTGGCTGGGCAGTCACCCCATGGCCTGTAGGGCTGGTTGCGCAGGCCCCCAACGCACCTCCGGCTTCGCCCCCACACTGGTGTTTTCGTCAGATGGGTGTTTGTTCCAGGAGAGCGACGCTTTCCCCTGATTTACTCTCTGTGCCCTGTTCCCTCTGCCGGGGGCAACGCGTGGGTTTTACGGGAAGGGGTTTTGTCAGCCGTGACTTGGCCTCCTCTGGCATTTCCCCTGTTGATGCTGCACGGCTGGTGGGTCGGGGTGTCCCTCGGCGTGCCCTGCCATAGCCACCTGCCCCGTGGAGGCTGGCTCCGGCGGGACACCGTGTCCTGCCTAACACCACTAATCACACTTTGCAGGAGTCGCCTGCAGGCCTTTCTGGTTAAGAAGTGTTTAATTGACTACAAAACCATGTAGTGGTGGGGGTTTGCATAATGCTGTTCATGGGGGAGCTGGCAGGAGTTTTCAAGCGGGGGAGGTGGGAATTGCTGCTCCAGGTGAAGGGGACACATAGAGGTGAAGGGACCCAGGGGACTGGGGTGAAGGGACCCAGGGGATCCCCACAGTAGGGAAGGGGATCAGGGGCTATGCTTTTTTGGGCTCCAGCCTCTACGGATGCTGGTCCCACCTTGTAGAGGAGCTTCCCTGGCCCATTCACCCCCTCTCAGCACCCTGGCTCTGCTGTGCCCATACTGAGGTGCAGGTTTAAAATCCCACTAGGGCATGCTGGGGCTCTGAATGGGGATCCCCAGTGTTCCCAGTTGCAGCTGGGCTTGCCCCGAGCCGTACTTCTCCCTCTTTTATAACCCGCCTCTGCTCCTGGGTAAGCCTTGGGCCAAGTGAGGACTTGCATCTGGCCTTGCCCCAGGCTGACACACAGCTCAGCTACTGATTTTGGTGCCCAGGGTGTCCCCTTGAGGAGGCTGCCGTGGGTAACAGGTCCTGTGGGGTCTGTGGGGTGGTGGCCATGCCACTGTTGGCAGTGCCAGGTGCTGCTCCAGGCTTGGCTTCCCCAGCTGGTGCTGGGAGCTGCTCCAGGCTGTGCCCAGGTCCCCCAGGAAATGGGGTCACTGCAGGGTGGCCTTTGGGTAACCCCCCAACTCATGTCCCAGCTGAACAGGACATCCAGTCCTTGGGAAGGGGAGGGCTCAGCAGGAAGGGAATGGTGACAGGGACATTGAAGGGAAAGCACCGGGGGCGGGAGGGGACGGTGGCTGTAACCTGCCTCCTTCTGCGATCCCTATAAATAGGAGGGAGCAGGAGCAGGGTTGCACCTGTGGGACTCCAGCTCTGCAGGAGAGGCAGGCAGGGAGGGACAGACCGAGCCGCTCCTCGCTGCTCTCGCCTCCCTTTGAGCTTCCCAGGGCTTTGCCTGGGTGAAGGCCTGAGGCATGGGGACCAGAGGATGGACGCTTTCCACCTTCGTGGGATGCTGCTTATGGATTCTGCAAGGTATGTCCTATATTTTTCTGCTAGCACATGTGCTACCCGAGCCTTTGCAGGGCAGAGCGGGTACAATTGTGAGATGCTTTTTCCTCCCGGCTGCACTGGAAACTCCTCTTAGGACCAGTCTTTGCAACACATTTCAGCCAAAAAGCCAGAAAAGTGTTTTGTGGAGCAGACACCACCCTGAAGGGCTGGTTGCAGGCATGGACCCACGGGAGAGGTGAGAGCCCAGCTCAGGAGCCTGTGTACAGCCATGTACCCCTCCAGCAAGGGAAGCCAGACAGCAGAGCGGGGCTCCAGGGATGCTCCCATCCCTCCCACATCCCAGGGAAGAGCAAAAGCCAGTGCTCCATGCTGGGGCCCCTTTTGCACAAGCTTCCCTTGAATGGATGTGATGGGGTAGATGACATTTCCCGCTCCACATGGAAGAATTAAGATAAAACACGGATTTAACTGGGGTGGAGTGTGCCAAACTACCTTGGAGAGGACTTGACTGATACGCTTTGTTTTCCCTGAGATGGGGAGGGAAGCAGCTGAGCTCCTCTGGATGAGGAGTGTTGGTGCAAAGAGCTTATTTCAGCCAGGGAAGATGGTGAGAAGGCAGCAGAAAGGGAGGGTAAGCAGGGGCTTGGAGGAGGATGGACCCCTGGAGGGCTGCTCTGGCGTAGGAGACAATGTTCATTAGTGACTCTGGCACAAGCTGTCCACAAGCTCAGGAGCTGAGCCGGTGGTGAGGTTGGAGGCACCTCCACTGCAGGGGGATCTGGCTGTGTGGCAGGGGGAACCTGATGAACCGGAGCACCGGGATGGGGAACAGGCTCGGGCTGTCGGGCTGCAGCGAAACCCTGCTGGGTCTCGCCCTCGGGGTACCCTTCGTCTCCCCTAATTGCAGCCGCCTAAAGCCAAGCGTCAGCAGATCTGCCTGGCTCCTCCTGGAGCCAACGGCGTCAGCTTGGTCTCCCCAGAGCCCGCATCCCTGTCCTAAATACAAGACTGGGTGAAACGTCGCTCACGGGTGCCTGAGATGTGGTGCCTTTCAGTGAAGCTCCTGGATGTGGGGCAGGATTTTGGCAGCAGGAGGAGGCAGCTGTGAGCAGGGCTTGGTCCTGGGAGCTGCTGAATTGAATACTCCCTCCAGGGGCAAGGAACCTCTGCACCCAGCTGGGGGCAAGTGGGACGGGGGCAGGAGCAGGCAGGCTCCCACCCTGGGAGAGGTTTAAGGAACCTACTTTAACTGCAGCGGGTCGGGAGCCGTTTGCAGCCAGGGCATGTTTCACTAATTGCTGGATGTCGTCTGCCAAAGGGCTTTGGGTGAAGTGTATTTAAATGTCCCTCAGACACCTGAAAGGTGAAACAACAACAAGAACCACCCCCCAGGCTCTGCAGAAGTGGCTGCGCTCAGGGCAAAGAGGGCTGAGGGCTCTTCTGGGGCGGCAGAGATCCACAGACACCCCTGGGGCTAGCAACTGGACTTACTGGGCCCCAGCTCTTACCAGTGGCCAGGCGGAGCCATCCCCAGCGTAACTGGACGGGGTTGCAGCAGCTGCCTTTGCCTCCATGCTCGCACCAGCATCTCTCCCTGACCTGTGATGAGTTGTGTCCTGTCTCAGCTGGCGGCTGGGAGTGCTGGGGATGCAAAGGTGCTATGTGGTGCTGTGCCTAAGACAGCCCAGGCTGTGCTCCTCGGCTCTTAAAACAGAGCCTTGTAAGGCCATGGGACAAGGCAGTAGGGTTTAAGAAGGGGCAGGATCTTCCTGATGCTCAGCCAGAGGAGTTGTGTGGCTGAGGCCGGCAGGCTGCTGGCTCCGGCACCCAGTGTAATGCTCCATTTTGTGCTTCTCTGCAGGGCTCAGGGCTGCTGCTGCTGTCCCTGTCACCACTGAGGGGCCATTTACTGCAGGGACAGCTTCTCCCATCACAGCGGAGAGCGAGGTGCCCAGTGCCCTCCTGTTGGGCACTGTGGAGACGAACACTGCAGCGATGAGCACCACGGCAGCTGATGCTGAGATAGATGAGAGCATCCTCATGGGAAACTCATCCAGCCCACCCTTCTCTCCCGGGGCTGAGCTGGCAACTTTGGGGACAGCGGCGAGCCAATCCAACTCTACAGTACCACCTTTGACGAACATGACCGAGCCTCTTAGCGTGTCTCAGGACAACGAGAGGGGTGCAGCTGCTCTTGCTGCAGCCATGACTGCTGACACCACCGTCTCACAGGACCCCGCTGTAACCTCAGATGTGGAGCTTGATGTAACGGGGACCACTCCCAACGTACCCCTGGGGACCACCCCTCTCTTTGCAGACATGAAGGAGGACATCCTTGCAGCTGTCACCAGAGAAGGAGCAGAAGATCGAGACCTCACCGCTGGGGCCACGTTCCTCCCCACCACCCCTCCGCCGGCAGCCTCCTGGGGGGCACAGCCATCTGCTGGCAGCCCCGTGGGTGCCAGTGTCACCGTGCTGCACAGCCAAGGGCTGACCACAGCCATGGGAGCTGTTGAAGAAGGTGTATCCCTGCCTGTGGGTATCCAAAGCGAAGCCAGTGCCAACTCCTTCAGCCCCAGGTCTGGTGCCGGGGGGCTGCTCACCACCCAGCAGGATGGGGCAGTGAGTGGGGCTGTGGGCATCACCCCAGAGCCAGCGGAAGAAACAGCCCCAGCTACCGAGGAAAGTCCCCTGGCTTCAGAGCCCAGAGATGCAGGAGATGCAGTAAATGGTGCATTCAGCATGGCTGGCTCATCCCACCTGCCACCAGCGAGCCCAACGGTGTGGGGAACACTGGGAAACCCAGGGGAGCCCCCCCTCCTTCCCGACCAGGCATCTCTGAGCCCAACTGCTTGGCTGGCACCAGTCAGTGGTGGGGACTGGGACGGGCAGGGAGCTCCCAGCATGTCATTGGGTGCTCCTGGTTCATCCGGGTTGCTTGCAGCCAGTGAGGCACCCGCAGTGACAGAGGACATGGGCATCTCGCTGCTGGTACCAAGTGTTCCTGCTGATGTGCAGAGTGACACGAATCCCCTAGCCCAGGCCACTGAGCTGCCCACAGAGGACATGGGGGCTGCGGGTCTGGCTGAGTCGTCCCTGCAGCCTGCCCCTTGGCAGAGCCCCGGTGGAGAACAGCCACCTCTGCTTGCTGCTACCCTGCCATATCCCATGGACACTTCCAGTGCTCCTGGGGCTGCTTACCCACCCCCGGGGGCTGGCACCCTGTCTGCAGCTGACGGTGGGGTAGAGACACCAGGAAGTCCTGACTTTGGTGCTGTCCCAGGAGCACCCATGTCTCCATCCCTTGGAGGATCACAGCCATGGGACACAGAAGCTGGTGCTCCCCAGGGAGCCGATGGAGCTGGCACTGGCTTGAATTCACCTTTGGATGCCTCCAACCCAGTGTCTTTTGTACCTGATGGACTGGCTGGACCCACCGCTGGGGTCCTGGTGCAGGGAGCTGAGGGTGCAGACATGGCACAGGCAGGAGGTCCAGGGAATGGCAGTCCCTATTCAGATACCCCAGCCTTCAGCACCCAGCAGGACCCCACTAGCATGGGAGAGCTGCCAGCTGGAGGAACAGGGGCTTTGGTGAATGCTGAACTGTCCCCTTCATCAGCTCTTGGAGAACAAGCAGGAGCAGGAGCAGCCCTGGGAGAGGTGTCCCTGCCTGGTCCTGCATTTCCCAGCAGTACTGGGCTGGAGTCCAACCTCTCAGGGGCTGAAGGACCAGAGAACCTGCCCGGTGAATTCCTCAGTGCTCCTGGGGCTGCTTACCCACCCCCAGGGGCTGTGCCCGTCCCAGTGTCTGGAGCAGAGACACCAGTGAACCCCGACCTCGGTGCTGCCCAGGGAGCACCCATGTTTCCATCCCTCGGAGGGTCCCAGTCATGGGGGACAGCAGCTGGTGCTCCTCAAGGAGCAGGTCTCCCTGAAGCCAACGTACCAGGCTCTGGCTTGACTTCGGCGTGGGATGCCTCCAGCTCAGCAGCTTATGGACCAGCAGAACCCCCATCACCTGGCCTTGGGGTCCAGCCTGGCACAAATGTGGGACTACCAGCAGCGGAGGGACATGGATCTGGCACAGTGGAGCAGGCACTGGGAGGAGCAGAAAGTGGGACTGGGTTTGAGCCATCCCTGATCTCCACTGCAGGCGGCGGGACGGCAGCTGGGATGGATCAACTGCCTGGTGCAGTTTCCTCATCTGGTCCTGCCTCTCCCAGTGGTGTGGTGGCAGCACCCTCTGTTTCAGAGGGTGATGGAACAGGATCCATCCCAGCTGCAGCCCCTGGCCCTGACAGCCTGTCCCTGGCCTCCCCGGACAGTGAAACTGGCCCTGAGCTCAGTCTGGTGCAGGGGGCTGCAAGCACAGGAGATGTGGCACAGACAGGAAACCCAGAAGAAACAGGGGCTTTGGTGAATGCTGAACTGTCCCCTTCATCAGCTCTTGGAGAACAAGCAGGAGCAGGAGCAGCCCTGGGAGAGGCGTCCCTGCCTGGTCCTGCATTTCCCAGCAGTACTGGGCTGGAGTCCAACCTCTCAGGGGCTGAAGGACCAGAGAACCTGCCCGGTGAATTCCTCAGTGCTCCTGGGGCTGCTTACCCACCCCCAGGGGCTGTGCCCGTCCCAGTGTCTGGAGCAGAGACACCAGTGAACCCCGACCTCGGTGCTGCCCAGGGAGCACCCATGTTTCCATCCCTCGGAGGGTCCCAGTCATGGGGGACAGCAGCTGGTGCTCCTCAAGGAGCAGGTCTCCCTGAAGCCAACGTACCAGGCTCTGGCTTGACTTCGGCGTGGGATGCCTCCAGCTCAGCAGCTTATGGACCAGCAGAACCCCCATCACCTGGCCTTGGGGTCCAGCCTGGCACAAATGTGGGACTACCAGCAGCGGAGGGACATGGATCTGGCACAGTGGAGCAGGCACTGGGAGGAGCAGAAAGTGGGACTGGGTTTGAGCCATCCCTGATCTCCACTGCAGGCGGCGGGACGGCAGCTGGGATGGATCAACTGCCTGGTGCAGTTTCCTCATCTGGTCCTGCCTCTCCCAGTGGTGTGGTGGCAGCATCTTCCATTTCGGATCCAGCCAGCCCAAGTGCCATTGGAGGAATGGCAAGTGCTTCTGGAGCTCTGCAGCCTTCCCTAGGTGCTGGGCCTGGGGTTCCTCTTGCTGCAGGAGAAGGGGCAGGTGAAGCAGGTGGTGACGGAGCGTCCCTGGGTCAGTCCCAGGCTGCTGCTGGAGAGGGACAGGCTGGTTCCAGTGGGACAAGTGTCCCTGCCTGGTCCTGCATTTCCCAGCGCTGCTTGGCTGGAGCCCAACCTCTCAGGGGCTGAAGGACAAGGGAACCTGCCCGGTGAATTCCTCAGTGCTCCTGGGGCTGCTTACCCACCCCCAGGGGCTGTGCCCGTCCCAGTGTCTGGAGCAGAGACACCAGTGAACCCCGACCTCGGTGCTGCCCAGGGAGCACCCATGTTTCCATCCCTCGGAGGGTCCCAGTCATGGGGGACAGCAGCTGGTGCTCCTCAAGGAGCAGGTCTCCCTGAAGCCAACGTACCAGGCTCTGGCTTGACTTCGGCGTGGGATGCCTCCAGCTCAGCAGCTTATGGACCAGCAGAACCCCCATCACCTGGCCTTGGGGTCCAGCCTGGCACAAATGTGGGACTACCAGCAGCGGAGGGACATGGATCTGGCACAGTGGAGCAGGCACTGGGAGGAGCAGAAAGTGGGACTGGGTTTGAGCCATCCCTGATCTCCACTGCAGGCGGCGGGACGGCAGCTGGGATGGATCAACTGCCTGGTGCAGTTTCCTCATCTGGTCCTGCCTCTCCCAGTGGTGTGGTGGCAGCACCCTCTGTTTCAGAGGGTGATGGAACAGGATCCATCCCAGCTGCAGCCCCTGGCCCTGACAGCCTGTCCCTGGCCTCCCCGGACAGTGAAACTGGCCCTGAGCTCAGTCTGGTGCAGGGGGCTGCAAGCACAGGAGATGTGGCACAGACAGGAAACCCAGAAGAAACAGGGGCTTTGGTGAATGCTGAACTGTCCCCTTCATCAGCTCTTGGAGAACAAGCAGGAGCAGGAGCAGCCCTGGCAGTGGGACAAGTGTCCCTGCCTGGTCCTGCATTTCCCAGCGCTGCTTGGCTGGAGCCCAACCTCTCAGGGGCTGAAGGACAAGGGAACCTGCCCGGTGAATTCCTCAGTGCTCCTGGGGCTGCTTACCCACCCCCAGGGGCTGTGCCCGTCCCAGTGTCTGGAGCAGAGACACCAGTGAACCCCGACCTCGGTGCTGCCCAGGGAGCACCCATGTTTCCATCCCTCGGAGGGTCCCAGTCATGGGGGACAGCAGCTGGTGCTCCTCAAGGAGCAGGTCTCCCTGAAGCCAACGTACCAGGCTCTGGCTTGACTTCGGCGTGGGATGCCTCCAGCTCAGCAGCTTATGGACCAGCAGAACCCCCATCACCTGGCCTTGGGGTCCAGCCTGGCACAAATGTGGGACTACCAGCAGCGGAGGGACATGGATCTGGCACGGTGGAGCAGGCACTGGGAGGAGCAGAAAGTGGGACTGGGTTTGAGCCATCCCTGATCTCCACTGCAGGCGGCGGGACGGCAGCTGGGATGGATCAACTGCCTGGTGCAGTTTCCTCATCTGGTCCTGCCTCTCCCAGTGGTGTGGTGGCAGCACCCTCTGTTTCAGAGGGTGATGGAACAGGATCCATCCCAGCTGCAGCCCCTGGCCCTGACAGCCTGTCCCTGGCCTCCCCGGACAGTGAAACTGGCCCTGAGCTCAGTCTGGTGCAGGGGGCTGCAAGCACAGGAGATGTGGCACAGACAGGAAACCCAGAAGAAACAGGGGCTTTGGTGAATGCTGAACTGTCCCCTTCATCAGCTCTTGGAGAACAAGCAGGAGCAGGAGCAGCCCTGGCAGTGGGACAAGTGTCCCTGCCTGGTCCTGCATTTCCCAGCGCTGCTTGGCTGGAGCCCAACCTCTCAGGGGCTGAAGGACAAGGGAACCTGCCCGGTGAATTCCTCAGTGCTCCTGGGGCTGCTTACCCACCCCCAGGGGCTGTGCCCGTCCCAGTGTCTGGAGCAGAGACACCAGTGAACCCCGACCTCGGTGCTGCCCAGGGAGCACCCATGTTTCCATCCCTCGGAGGGTCCCAGTCATGGGGGACAGCAGCTGGTGCTCCTCAAGGAGCAGGTCTCCCTGAAGCCAACGTACCAGGCTCTGGCTTGACTTCGGCGTGGGATGCCTCCAGCTCAGCAGCTTATGGACCAGCAGAACCCCCATCACCTGGCCTTGGGGTCCAGCCTGGCACAAATGTGGGACTACCAGCAGCGGAGGGACATGGATCTGGCACGGTGGAGCAGGCACTGGGAGGAGCAGAAAGTGGGACTGGGTTTGAGCCATCCCTGATCTCCACTGCAGGCGGCGGGACGGCAGCTGGGATGGATCAACTGCCTGGTGCAGTTTCCTCATCTGGTCCTGCCTCTCCCAGTGGTGTGGTGGCAGCACCCTCTGTTTCAGAGGGTGATGGAACAGGATCCATCCCAGCTGCAGCCCCTGGCCCTGACAGCCTGTCCCTGGCCTCCCCGGACAGTGAAACTGGCCCTGAGCTCAGTCTGGTGCAGGGGGCTGCAAGCACAGGAGATGTGGCACAGACAGGAAACCCAGAAGAAACAGGGGCTTTGGTGAATGCTGAACTGTCCCCTTCATCAGCTCTTGGAGAACAAGCAGGAGCAGGAGCAGCCCTGGCAGTGGGACAAGTGTCCCTGCCTGGTCCTGCATTTCCCAGCGCTGCTTGGCTGGAGCCCAACCTCTCAGGGGCTGAAGGACAAGGGAACCTGCCCGGTGAATTCCTCAGTGCTCCTGGGGCTGCTTACCCACCCCCAGGGGCTGTGCCCGTCCCAGTGTCTGGAGCAGAGACACCAGTGAACCCCGACCTCGGTGCTGCCCAGGGAGCACCCATGTTTCCATCCCTCGGAGGGTCCCAGTCATGGGGGACAGCAGCTGGTGCTCCTCAAGGAGCAGGTCTCCCTGAAGCCAACGTACCAGGCTCTGGCTTGACTTCGGCGTGGGATGCCTCCAGCTCAGCAGCTTATGGACCAGCAGAACCCCCATCACCTGGCCTTGGGGTCCAGCCTGGCACAAATGTGGGACTACCAGCAGCGGAGGGACATGGATCTGGCACGGTGGAGCAGGCACTGGGAGGAGCAGAAAGTGGGACTGGGTTTGAGCCATCCCTGATCTCCACTGCAGGCAGCGGGACGGCAGCTGGGATGGATCAACTGCCTGGTGCAGTTTCCTCATCTGGTCCTGCCTCTCCCAGTGGTGTGGTGGCAGCATCTTCCATTTCGGATCCAGCCAGCCCAAGTGCCATTGGAGGAATGGCAAGTGCTTCTGGAGCTCTGCAGCCTTCCCTAGGTGCTGGGCCTGGGGTTCCTCTTGCTGCAGGAGAAGGGGCAGGTGAAGCAGGTGGTGACGGAGCGTCCCTGGGTCAGTCCCAGGCTGCTGCTGGAGAGGGACAGGCTGGTTCAGGAGCCCCTGATGGAGAAACTGGAGCCGTTCTGCAGTCTGCATCTTCTTCCCCATCTACAGAGAGATCTTCATCATTTGGAACGGCCAGTGAGGCTGGCAATGGAGCAAGCCTTCCTGGAGCTGGTGGAGCCGGCAGTGGCTTGAGCACAGGGTTGGAGGCTGCTGGCCCCAAGGAACCCCCAATGTCTGCCCCCAGCATCCAGAGTGGTGCCAATCTTGGACTTCCCGATGAAAAACTGAGCCAAGTCAATGTGGTGGAGCTGTCTGGAGGAGCCTTGGCAAATGGGGTACCTTCCCCCAGTGCCAGCCTGGGACAGGGTGCAGGAGCCATCGTACAGATTGCATCGGGAGCGCTGGCCCCGTCTGCCCTTGCCTCCCCTCAGGATACAGAGCCCTTGGTTGCAGTGGCTCCAGCTGGTGGCATCTCTGATGGCAGCGCTACCTCACTGTCTTCTTCTCTGCTCCTCCCTGGGCACGGGCTGAGCTCAGGGCTGGCACCCAATGGAGACCCCCAATCTGGCCCCAGCGCCCAGAGTGGGAGCAGCCCCCTGATGCCTGGGGCAGGGGGTGGGGTGGCAGGAGATGCTGGAGGTGCTCAGACGTGGTCTCTTGAAGAGGAGGTGGCCTCAGGGATGCCAGCACCTTTGGGAGAAGCATCCTCACGTGTCCCCACGTCCCTCAACACTGCCCCAGCACTGCCTTCTGCTCAACAGAGTGAAAATGCTGCAGAGGGGGTGTCTGCCGGCCCTGGGCTTTCTGCTCCGCTTTCAGCACGTGAGTCGGCAGCGGGGTCCTCTTTGGGGGGACAGGGAGAGCTGGGGGCTGCCACACAGGGGGGGGCAGCCCTGCTCCCACCTCCCCACCAGCTGGGAAGCCCTGGAGCCCCCTCTGGGGATGCTGACAGCCCCGTGCGTGGGGAAGCAGGTGTCATGCTCCCTGGAGCGATGACAGGGCGAGGGGACATGGCTCAGCTCCTTCCCAGTGCCACTGGAGCCAGGGCAGGTGTGGAGACCCCCGCTCGCTCCCCACTGGGAGGGAACCCAGGGCTCCCTGGTCTTTCTCCAGCCCGGATGGCTGCTGGTAGCCCCGGACTAAAGACCCCAGGGCCAGGACCTGCTGGTGGCCTGTCACCCGCTGCCCTGCAGCCATCCTTGGGCGGTGAACTGACCACCAGCCTGGCAAACAGAGCCCTTTCCACCGGTGGGTCAAACCTCCCCGCAGCCTCCCCAGGCCAGGGGGGGACCCGTGGAGGGTCCCCAGCCACCGCACGTCCAACAGTGTCCTGCAACCCGACCACCGCCAGCCCAGCCCCACCAGCCCCCCTCCCTGCGGGCAGGGAGATGCTCCCCAGGCCAGGAGCAGCCACTGTCACCTCCCGTGCATCATCCCCCGTGTTTCCAGCTCTGCCAGGAGGGCCGGTGGCTGCCCCAACCCTGCTGCCCAGCCCCACAGGTATGTGATGCTCGTGGGGCAGCCCCCGGGTGGGAGGAGCACATCTGGCCTCCTGACGGATGGTCCTGAGGAACATTTGGTGCCCAGAGACCCAGGGGGCTATTTGGGGTCAGAATCCCTGGGGGAGATGCAGCATGAGGAGCTTCTGCAGATATGAACTTACATTTTTGGCAGGCTGAGCTTGCCTTCGAGGATGGTCCCGTCAGCTGGAAAACCCATCCCCTCCAAATGCTTTGTTTTATTTAACAGACATAAATAGGGAGCTGGAGGCTGTAAACATCTCTAGAAAGATCTGTGGGTGTTTAATTCCCTGCTGTCCCCCTACCACAGTCCCATAGAATGTTTTTCCCTTCCTAACAGCAATCCTTCAGCGTGGGCTGGAGTGGGAGGGGACAGTGACCACAAAGGCCATCACAGCAGGTTTAGGGCAGCTGTGTACGTGTAAGGCAGTGAGAGGGGTGGGAGGGAGCTCCTGCAAGGGAAGGTGACATGCAGGGTGTCCCAGGTGGCTATTGGCAGTGTCCCCCCATCCTCCTGCTGCCCATGCTGTGTCCCTTTGGAAGCAGAATCATTTCAGCCCTTTGAGTTTTTGGAACACAGCAAAGGCTTTGTTGTAAGTGTGTTTTGTAAGACTGGGAGTTTTTTTGTGTTTTTGTTTTCTTTTCCAGTTGCAGCTGCGCCCCTCTACGGGTACGGAGCGAGGGAAAATGATCGGGAGTATGTGGAAAGGAGGGTGGATTTTAATTCTCCGCTTTTCAAGCCTGAGACTGGATTCCCATTTGGGAGAACCCTGCGCGACTCTCTCTACGTGAGTCCACCTTGGCTTGACTGGCTGTTGGGCAAGTGACCATCCCCCAGAAACCCATGGGAGGCACCAGGGGCCAGGTGCCTGGGATGGAACAACTCAACTGGGATGCTGCTGGGGTCTGTTTGCAGCAGGAGGTGACTTTGTGGCCATTTTGGCGGTGGCAAGTGATGGCCTTCCTTGGGTGTTGCTCAAAGTGGGCTTGGAAATGGGAGGGCTGCCACCCCCATGACAGGGGGTCCTGCTGGTCCTGACCTCACCTGATGGAGGGATCTCTCTGCTCAGTTTACAGACAACGGACAAATCATTTTCCCATCCTCGGACAACAGCATCTTCACGTACCCCAACCCTCCTCCCAGTGGCTTCAACGGCCACGAAGAAGTTCCCATGATCGCCGTGTTTTGGGACAATGCTGACTTCTCCAGAGGTGTTGGCACCACCTTTTACCAGGTGAGTGAGGCCACCTGGGTGCATTGTTGCATGAAATACCTATTGATCATAAAGTCATCACCTATTCTGTGGATGCCCCTTGAGATGTGTAATTGATGGAGCCCATGAGTGGTGTTTCCCTTTTCTGGGTCAAATGTAAGAGCTGTTGGTCCTGTGTGTGTCACCTCTTGAGCCATCCAAATCTCATCCAGACCCTTAGTTGCAGTGCTTCAATCATGACCCCAATCTAGACCTGTCTTTGCCATGCTGGGAGCTAACACAGATGTGGGTGTACCCAATCCTCAGGAGTTCCACACCCTCAACACGGCCAAGCCTCCGTTCGTCCGTGACGTGGAAGCAAAGATTCGGCGGTACCTGAGGTCCTCCTACTCTGCAGCCTGGACCCTGAAGATCACCTGGGAGAAGGCACCTGCCTATGCAGCACGGACTGACACACGGAGGGTAAGGGGATGATGGAGCTCAAGGGCTTGTTGAGGTGTCAAAAAAACCCCAAGATCCATGGGCGGTCACCTTGACAGTGCCTGAAAATAAGAACCAGCTTTGTGAAAAAGACCAGTCTTGAAGACTTTTGCAAAAAAACCCTGGGCTATGCCCATATTTTGGTGGTCTTCAGTTTTTTGGGGGGACATCTTTAGTTGAAGTCTCCCTGCTCCATAAAATCTTTCTCTTTAATGTGATGGGAGCTTACTGTGCACCAGAAACGCAGTTCTTCAGGAGCATAAAATTGGGTGAATTTGGGGCTTCTGATGGAACCACATCAAAGTGAAACCATCACATTTTCCATGCACAAGGCGAACCAGCACAGGCTGCGTTTGCCCTGTACGTTAGGACATCAGTGAGCACCGACCCACACACCCCTAATTTTAAACCCAGCAGCTTTGCTCGCTTTCTCACCCGTCTGCAACGCTTTTCCCCAGACGAACACGTACCAGGCCGTCCTGACCACTGATGGTTTCAGGTCCTACGTCCTGATGCTGTACCAGGAGGGAGGCATGCAGTGGGATTACACCAGGCTGGCTGCCACCAACGTGCTCATCGGTTACACCAGGTACAGCAGGCTCAGCACCCTCCCCCTGCCTCCTCCGAGCACCGGGCTGTGTCCTACCCCCGTCCCCGACTTGTTTTATCCTTCCCCTCGTGTCTTATTAAGTGCCCTGCAAGGATGAGGGCAGCCCAGATGGGGTCTGCATGCCCACAGAGGTCATGCAGGAGGGTTCATAGTGGGGGTCTCACAGCCAAATTTGCCCTGTTAGTGATGGGATCATGCTGCAGAGCGCTGGCTTGCCAGGCTGTGCTTGTTGTAAGATCCACTCAACCCCCTGGTGTCCCGGGGCCTGCAGCATCCTGGTGGTTTGGGTGGAAGGAGCGGGGAATAGGGGATGTTTGCTGAACTTTGCACCAGTGGAGGGAAGGGATTTCCGCCACTTGGCCGGAGCGGTCGCTTCCTGCCTCCTCGCATTACATCTCGCCCCGTGCACGGCGTCTCCAGGGTTTGGTCATTAGCTGCTGGCTGCAGCTGGGTAAGGAAAAGGTGGCCGGGACGGGAAGCGCGGGCGGCACAGGCATGTGTGTGTGCTCGCCTGTGCACGACTGCTCGTGGGTTTCCGCTCTGTATCCTCCTGCAAATTGCTGGAAACCATGGAAGCTGCTTGTGGGGGTCTGGAGATGTCTGTGGATTCAGCCCCACAATGCAGCAGGAGTGTCTGAAGCACCAAAACTAACTGCACCCTGTAGAGAGGAGGCAATGGGCTGGGGGAGCCGGTGCCCTCCTGTCTCTGGAGCTGCGATTTGGGTGCTGTGGGGTCCTGGGGGCTCAGGATCAGGGCAGCTGAAGGGCAGGCTGGGGCTGGGATAACCCCACCTGGGAAGAGCAATCCCTAATTTTTCCCCTTTCCTCTGCACACAGTGGGGATGGCTTTTACCGCAACGACGACTTGACTCAGAGACCTCCAGCTGCTAAATATCGCCCTGACCAGTTCAGGGGCTACAACACAGGTAGAACCAGCCAGGATGGGTTCATGCAGCCCCTCAAGGGGTCAGGCAAAGGCTGTGTGGGGAGGGGGATGTTCCTAGGGGGTCAAATCGAGCCTGTTTCTGTAACAAGGCTCTCACTGAGTTCACTGAGGCCAGGCTCTCTCCCCAAGCACATAAAACGCTTCTTCTGTGTACCAGCCCTGAGTCTGAAACATCCTTGACAGGTTCTTGGACCTTTTTTGTTGAAATGGCTCTGTCTCAAGGCTTTCTTATTTTGCAAGACCTTCTTCCCCTGTTTCCCTGCTGTTGGATGGTTGTTAAGCATGGGGTCCCATGTCTGGGGGTTGTTGTGGGCTTAGTTTCCAGCTTCAGCATCACTCAGCTCTCTCCTCAAACCACAACTGTCCCTGTGGTCCCCTTGGCCAGAGGTGACAGACAGCTGGTGGTTTCTCTCCCTGCTCAGACCTCCGCGGGATGTGGATTTACAAGCTGGAGAACCGTGTGGGTGCCAACTACCGGCTGAAGTGCCTGGCGTGGACGGGGCGGCAGCAGGACCCACGGACATGGAGCCAGGACCTGCCCGCCTGCCCCTGCTCCCTGCAGCAAGGCCAGCAGGACCCGCGCTTCAAGAGCAGCCGTGGAGGCAAGTGGACATGCTGCTTCCCTACGTTCCTCATCCCTAAGCTGTCCTTCTCCACCTCCCCTACAAGGGTGGCTGGGGGTCCCTTTTGTCCAGGCAGGCAGGTGACCCCAAGGGAAATGGTGATGGGGAGTGGCTGCCCTTCCCTGCAGAGATGGGAAAAATGAGGAGGAATGAGGACTGACCTGTCTCTGTCTTGTTAGACTGGCCAGGGCAGGTCTAAGCTGCACAGGGACAGTGGGGATAGACCCTCTGCAGCCCCAGGGTCTCACCCTGTGGGACCACTTGGATGGTCTGTGTCAGTCCCTCCAAACCCCCATGGCACCGTGGGTGATGCGGGTGGGAGTGATGGATAACAAGAGGCCAGCCTCAGGGCAGGGATGCCGTCCAGGGAGAGCTGCCCCAAGACTCACTGCCCCCCTGTTGCAGGCTGGTGGGCCGCCCGTGTCTCCATGCTGCACTCCTCCTCCCCCAACCGGCACGGCGCCGGCGTCCGCTGCCTGTACAACAGCCAGAACCAGCTCATCGAGGGGCGGCAGGAGAGGTACTGGAGGTCCTCCAGGCAGGCGTCCCCTTACCGAGGTAAGCACAGCCAGCCCTGGCATCCTGGGGTTGAGGCTGGCATCGCTGCAGCCTGCAAATCATTTTAATCTCTGTGCCAACATGTTTCCTGACATGCTGTTACCCTCAGAGTGACCACGGACTGGCCAAAAGCTGTGGCGAGTGCCCAGAGCCATCCCGTCTCCCTCTCCTCTCCCCTTCAGCCCCTTACTCTCCTTTTTGCCTCCAGACCAGGAGCTGAAGTTGTACGACTGGTGCTGTAACCAGGCGGGCAGCGCCAGCATCTGCGCCCACTACAACGAGAAGAGACCAAAGATTGGCTGTGATGGATACCAGCCACCTGGCATGGGTGGGTGTGCAGCCCATGTGTGCTGGGGCGATGCTGTCTTGGTGCCCAGGGTTGGGGGTGGTGGTGGGGATGTTCCAGCCACCCCGTTGTTAAGTCAGCAAGAGCTCCAGGCAGAAGAGCTGGGTTTTGGGGTGCCCACATGCAGGCTGTGCTGTGTGGGGTGGTGGGGGGCACCTCCTGTAGCACAAAATCACCAGTGTAGTCTGGGGGTGACAGCACTGGGAGGGGAGGAGGGTCACAGCTAAAGCAGTTGTTGGCGTAAGCTGATGTGGGGCTTTCTTGCAATCACCAGGAGGTTCCTCGGAGGAGGCGGATGGTGACTCGGAGGAGCAGATAGGTGAGTGGGATTGGGGGTCTCTTCACTGACCACTTCTCTTTCTCCCTGCTCCCATTTCCCCCCAGGCCCCTGGGGAGGAGGTGGCCAGGCAATTCTCATTTCTTCTTCTTTGCAGACGAAGAGGACAAGTAACTGGGGGGGTTGCACACCTGCAGCACAGTCTGGGCCACAGCTGATCCTCTGAGTCCTTTGCTCCTGCTCATCTCCTGCGTCCCCCTGCTTCCCCCAGCACCCATCACCCCTGCCCACCATGCAGGGCAGCTCACTCGGCCACTGCCTGTGGTTGCCTTCACGGGCACAAGTTCACGTTTCTATCCAGACTTGTCTCAAGGAGCACATTTTTTTAGTTTCCCTTTCCCAGCTGTGGCTGAGCAGGTGCCCATGGGCACCTACTCACTGGCTGGGAGGAGGGCAGGTACCCCCCACCCCACAGACCACCTCCTGTTCTCCCTAAAACCTGCTGCGCCTCCCACCCTGTGGGGTGAGGCTGGACTCCTGGCACCCGGGAAAAGGGTTTTTGCACCTCACGTGGGTTGACTGCAGCCAAGCCCCTGCATGCTGTGGTGCACCAGGCTTGCCCTGTGAGCTGGTCCTATCTTGTCCCACACTTCTGTCCCCCATCCATCCCTCCTCAGATGGTCCCCAGGCTCTGGGTTCAGGAGAAAGGGCAATTCTCCGGATCAAGCCAGAACCAGCTTGATGCTTTTGCTGGGTGTGCAAGGGCAAAACGCAACCACATCATCAGAAACTGTGGGAGAAAAATAATTTTTTTGTGTATAAGAGAACATCTGCCTTTCTTAAAAAAAAAAAAAAAGAAATCATTGTCAAATCTTGTTTGTTCAATAAAGCCTCCAAGGGGTCTGAGCATCACTGATCCTGTGGCAGCCGTGTCCTCTGCTGAACCGGGGTGGGAGGCAGGGGTAGGGACAAGCTTGGAGCAGCAGGATTGCAGGATTGCAGTCCGAGCTGCAGCCAAACCAGGGTTAGGGAAAGTGGGGCTGGAGCTGGGATCTGCCAGGGTCTGATACCACTCTCCCTAGGTACAGCATCTTCCCTCCGCAGGGGCCATGGGCTGTTTGTGGGGATCACAGCCCGAGCTGTGTGATCTGAGGCACTGCGAGCGGCGCCTGGGGACAGCAGTGAGGGGAGAGTTGCAGCTGGAATGAGGGTATGGAGTAACAGAGAAAGCTACATCCATCTTCTCTTTGGTCCTGTGGATGGGACCAGCAGAAAGCAGGGACTGAGAGCTCGGTGACAGGGAAGCAGGGCTGGCGCACGGGCACCATGGGGTGCAGGCGACTCACTCAGCAGCATGCCATCATCTTTAGTTTATTCTATTTTGTTGCTAACAGGTTATAATCACCGCATTGCCCCACCTCGCTCTGCTCTCAGTGGCTCTGCTGGGTCTGGTTACGCTGCACTTGAGCAGACATGCTCAAGGACTACCCCAGTGGCCTCTGCAGGTCCTCAGGGGAAGGTGAAATCCTGTCTCTTTGGCCACCCAACGTAAATCCACATTTTTCATTCAAAAAAATCACCTCCTCCAGAATGAATCTCCTACAAAGAGCAGACCCCAAAAGACAGCTGCCCGTCCCCTGTCTCCATGCAGGCACTGATGCCAGAGACCCCGAGAGCAGGCAGTGGGGCTGGCAGCATCGTCTGGCTCCTCCGTGATTTGGAGGTGCCAGGGCAGGACCAGTGGCAGGCTATGGCTGTGCGGGGGGCTGGCTCAGAGGCCTGATGTGGGGTCTCTGGATCTTTATCTGTAAAGGAAGGACAGGCCACGCCATGCTGTGGGTGCTGCATGGGCTCTGCTCTTCGCAGCGAGCACAGACAGCGGTGCAGACCCCAGCACCAGCCAAAGCATCAGTGATGCTCTGGGACAAGGCATGGCTCCAGAGCATCTTTGAGGTATGGGGCCAAGACATCAGCCCACAGCCCACAGCCCCCCACCCCGACCCCCCATGGGGGCTATAACCCCCAGGCAGACCTGGACTGAGGGGTCGATAGCTTGGAGCTGCGGTTCCCAACGCCTTCCCGGGGAGTGGGAGCGGGTGGACCCTGCCCGCTCTCCTGCCATCATCAGAGCTGGAGCAGGGAAGATGAACAGAGCTTGAAGAAGTCCGGGGTGAAGCAGAACTGGGGTGGGGGGTTTCACAGGGATGTACTCACAGGAGAAGGGCCGTGGCCTCCAGAAGTTCTCCTTGACCCTAGGAGAAGAGGAACAGAAAGGAGATGACATGTCAGGGGTGGGGCTGGGAGTGCCCTGCCTGGTCCTGGCACCTGGATGGGATGGGAGCAGGAAGAAGTGACTGAGAGTGGGGGCAAGATGGGGCTACGAGAGCAGGAAAAGCCCCAGTTGCTGTGCACACACAATTTCTCGTTTTGCCACAAGTGCAAATGAACAGAGGCACCTCCTGGAGAGCCTGGAACTAGCAGCAGGGGCAGGACACAGCTCCGACCAGGGCAGGGGACTTGGAAGACCAGGGCAGGAAGCTTCCCCTGAATGTGGACCAAGGGAGGAGGGAAAGAGGTGCTGGTGCTTCCACCCCAGCCTTGTACCTCTTCAGCAATCTGCTAAGTCCCCAGCTCTACAGAAGAGCAAGGTCTGATCCTGCACCCACCTTTTTCTTGCTCCAGGTCAACTCTTTCCAGAGCAATGTGAATTGCAGTAGAAATAATTTGGATAGTATTCAAATTAAAAATAAATAGAAACCCTGTCTGTAACTGAGCACCGGGTGAGATGAGGAAGAAATGCAAATATTCCCCGACATGGGGGAAAAGGGAAGGTAATATTCAACCCACTGACCTTATTGCACCCTTGAGCAGCAGATGTCTGGGAAAGGGGGCTGCAAGATGCTAAAAGACCACTGGGCTCAGACCCTTCCCCAGGGCAGGTTCCCCCTGCCCAGTCCAGATGGGTCCACTAGTGGTGGACCCTCCAGAGAGGGATTTTCCATCAGTTTTTTGGGCTGGGAAAGCTCTTTCTGACACCCACCCTCCAATCTCTGTGCACCCTCAGCATCCACCCCCCGGTGGGACCATCCCATGGCTCACCCCCGTTGCTGGTGCCGGCGGCAGAGGTGTGAGGCCAGGCAGGTGATGGCGAGCAGGAGGCAGAGCAGAGCCAGGGCTCCCAGCAAGATGCCCAGGAAGGCGGCGAGGCTGATGGCCAGTCGCTCGCACCGGGTGCCACCAGGGAAGAAGATGGAGAAGGGGAGGCAGCTGTGGAAGAGAAAGGAGGAGCGGTGATGCCACAGGGAGATGTGGTGGTACCCAGTGGCCTTGTCCATCCCCAACCCCACAGCTACCTGCACGTGGGCCCCTCCGGCAGGTGCTGGCACTGGCCACCGTGCTGGCAGTAGCCCGTCTTGCAAGGGGACATGCAGACAAAGCCGATGGTCCCCGTGTAGTGGAGCCGGTAGCCTTTGTAGCCATACAGATCACAGGGGAAATAGCCCCTCAGCTCATCCACCGTCACTGGGGAGGGACAACACGGGTTCGGCCACACAGCAGCATCACCCCTCCATGCTGCCCCAGGTCTCCCTGAGCTGGGTCTGTGCCTGGGATGGGGAGACTCCCTCCCACCCACCTCCCCCACGGGCATTGCCCGAACCCCAGGGCACACAGGGTGATGGGGACAGGGGGGTGCTCCTCCTGGGCTCCCCAGCTTGGTGCCAGGACCAACTCACGCTTCACCAGGTCGGTGACGTTGTCGCGGTGCAGGTGCTGGAAGAGGAGGGGTGCCCCCGCCTCCCGCCGCCCCCGCTGCCTGTTGAAGGCACTGGTGATGGCTTCCAGCAGCTCCTCGTTCAGGAACTGGATGACGGTGCCACGGCTGTTGTAGGTGAACTCAGAGACCACCAGGAAGGTGAGGCCATCGCTGTCTGTCCTGTGGGGAAAGGACGGGGCTGCTGGCAGAGCCACTGCTGCATCACAGAGTGACCAAGCCTCACTGTGCCTCAGTTTCCCTATTTGCAGGGTGGTAAGGAAGGGGTGAGGCAGGAGATGGAAGGTGCCGTAGGGCTTGTGTGGAAAAACAGGCTCTGGGGTGGGGAAAAATGCCTTTTGTGTCCCAAACCCTGCCCCACCAGCCCTCCAGGTGGGCAAGGGGCCACTCCACAGCTGACTCACGTCTGGGTGATGTTGGTGTTTCTCTGGAAAGCCTTCACCTCCAGGGAGCCCAGAATGGCCGACACCTGTGTCAGGGAGAAGCAGGAAGGTGTTAGGGGAGAGCAGGATGGCACCAGTGCAGGGAGAGCCTGAAGGATGATGCAGGCACCCTGGCCAAGCCCCAAGGGCTGCTCTGGCCTTTTGTTCCTGTGCCAGGGACCTGGCACACGGCCACGGCCACAGCCAGCATCACGCGGCTGCTGCTGCCTCCCTCTGGCCCTGCAGATCTGCTGGATCCCCAGGGATCCCGTGAGATGGGGGGGGAGCACAGAGTCACGGACACCCCAGGCTGCCATGCTGCCCAGTGTGTCCCCTTCCCCGAGCCCATCCCGGTCGGTGACGTACGGTGCCGTTGACTTCCCCAACAGTGGCGTTTCGCAGTGCCCTGACCCGCAGCAGGACGCTTCTCCGGGGGAGATCTGCAGGGGGGAAGCCGCAGGGGTGGCTCTGGCACCCCAGGACCGGGGTGATCGGGGTTGGGGTTCACTGGGCACAGGCACTCACCTGGGCTGGGCAGCGGCCGAAAATCCTCCCCCGCCACCAGGCACCGCTGGTCAGTGAAAGGCGGGGGGCAGGTGCAGCTGGGGGTGCAGGTGATGGGGTGCAGGCTGCAGTGTCCCCAGTTGCCACAGTAGCCCTCGGGGCAGGAGCGGGAGCCACAGCCCAGCCCCTCACCTGTGGGACGAGGAGCCCAGGTCAGGTGGAGGCATGAGCCTGGCTGCAGGAGCAGAGCTCCGGTGCCTTGACCCATCCTCAGCTCCTCTGTAATGACTTTCTTCTATGTTTGGGTTTTTTTTTTAATACGTTAGAACTTCTAGAATAAATTCAGATTGTCAATAACAAGCCCAGCTGGAGCCTCTTGCCCTTGTGAAATCCCAGCTTGCTGCACTATAACAGGAGCAAACCCCACCACAGCCATCTGAAAATAGGATTTGATTTTAGCCCCCGCAACCTCTGCATGTGCATTTGAACTTTGATCAGATGACCTTTTTTCTTTTTTTTTTTTTTTCTCAAAGAGAAAAATTGCATGGGAAAAGTTTCCCATCCTGGCAGATTAGTGAGATCTGGAGTCTGGGAGAAGAAAGGTCAGCTGGAGTCTGGTCCCTTCTGTTAAGGACATCAAGGCCTTGGGTACAGAGACCAGCCAGATCCCCCTCCTCTCCTCTCTGGCCAGTTCGGGTCCCATGGTTCTACCAAGGTCTGGGGGTGACAGAGACAAGGACCATGCCCGCCAGGGTGCATGTACTCACCCTCCACGCCATCTGGGTAGGAGCAGTAGTAGCTGCCCGCCGTGTTGGTGCAGGTGGCATTCCCTTGGCACACTGTCCCCTGCGCACACTCGTCGATATCTGCCAAGGCCATGCAGCATGGCACCGGGAGAAATACCTCAGCCAGGGTCCCATGGGCACCCCAGGTTCCCGGTGGCCATGGTGAGCCCTCATCACCTGAGCAGTGCCGCCCGTCGCCGGTCAGGCCAGGTGGGCAGGGGCCACAGCCGGTGTGCGAGTCACAGGCCACGCCGGGGAAGCATCCCTGGGCACAGGGGTCTGGAGGGTCCTGGCAGAGGGTACCCGAGTAGCCACCCTCACATCTGCAGGCTGCCAGCTGGGAAGGGGACAGTGACACTGGCTTAGGGGACATGAGGAGGAGGGGTGGACAGAGAAGACAGCCAGGATGTCTGGCATGAGGACAGGCACAGAGTGGCACTGAAGGAGCTTTCCGGCACTCTACCTGCAGGGAGGACCCCTCCAGGGTGATGGTGTTGCTGTAGTCACACTCCTGGCTCCTGCTGCAGCTGCAAAGGGTGAAGCGGAGCTGGAGGAGGGCGGAGAGGTTGTTGGACCCGACAGCCTCCAGGTTGACGGTGAATGGGTTCATTCCACGGGGCTCCCACATCAGGGTACCATTCTCTGCCACGGGAGGGGAGGTGGGCGTTAGAGGAGGTGGCAGAGGAGAGGGGCTGGGTGGCCAGTGTCCCCCCATCCCCTCCCAGCTGCCCCACCTCTCCTTTCTGACCTGATATGTTGAGCTCTGGTGAGAGGTGGGGGACAAAGCGTGCGCCCACCCCGGTGGCATGGTACTGCCTCGTGACCCGTTCTGTCCTGAAGGCCGTGAGCGATGCATTACCAGTGATAACAGGAGGGAAGGAGTCTGAGGAAAGAGCAGCCCAGCACACATCCGTTTTTTTGCTACATGGCCTTGTCACCCCTTGGTTGTGAGACCCTCCTGGTGAGGATGGGACCCCAGGCAGATGCTGCCGTGACCGCCTACCGACAAGGCCCTCGTGTTGCACCGCATGGTGGCATCTCCCAGGCTTGGAGACCAGCCAACTGGGCAATGCAACTCCAAGACCTTGGTGAGTTCTCTCCTGCCTCACATGGAGGAAAAGAGCCCAGGGAGGGGGCAGGGCACTGCCCAGTTACCCAAGCCGTGCCCTCTTGGAGGTGAGGATCGGCTCCACTTACTGAGTGCTGTCTTCTTCTGCTGGAAGTCATCTGTGAGGCTCTGGGTGGCCAGGCCCAGGGCCACGTCCCCTGTGCTCAGTGAATCATAGATGCATTCCTTGCTGCCGTGGCACTGAGAGACTGCCAGCTGGTACTGGCTTTCATTTTCCTGCCGCAGCCGAGACAAGAAGATGGGTGTGAAGTTCATTACCCGTGAGTCCAGAGGCTGAGCAAACAGGCTGTGCTCTCCAACAGCCCCTGCAAGAGAGCACACCATGGGTACGGTCTTGGGTTTTTAAGGTTTGTTATACTTCAGGGCTCATTTTCATGGCATAGTGAAGAGACCAAAGGGCTTCACTGGCATCACTTTTTGTTCAGGCAAGTGTCTAAATGTCTCTAGCCGGAGCCTGGCCAGCAGGTGCAGGAAGAGGGGGATCGTCAAGGTGGAGCCAGAGCCTGGACTCACAGGTCATCCCATAATTGTAGATCTCCTCCTCACTGCTGTTCACAGGGATGCTGGTACCGTTTGGCATCTGGAAGTCGTCTGCGGGGTCGTAGTCCCACACACCTGGTAAAGCATGACACGAGAACTGGAGTCTCCCATGCTGGGGTTTACCTCCACTCTGGTGCTGGCCAGTGTTTAGTTTATACCCAGGGGTCCCTGCCCTCACAAGCACGTTCCCCCAGTGTTTTCCAGACTGCTTTAGGGTGGGAAGAGGGCTTTGCATGGTGCCAGAAGTCCTTACCCAGGAGGCCCTTGGTGCTGTTCTGGTACCGACTGGGCAGGCCGCAGACCACGCTGAGGATCCCAGAGTTGGCTGAGATGGAGATGGCGATGGCCCCATCAAAGACAGCCGTGACAGAGGAGGTGTTGACCAGCAGGACACCACGGCTATAGCACACCTCAGCACTCATATCTGCAAGAGAAAGAGAGCACAGAGGGAGAGTCCATGCAAGGCTGGGGTCTCAAATGATGCCGCTGAATTTGGGGAGGGGAGCACTCCTCATCCACCCCAGTCAAGTCAGAGACAGGATGCAGATGGGAGATGTTTGATGGAGCTCAGAATGGCTGCCCTTGTGCTGGGCAGGGCTGGCCCTTGTGGAATGGAGACACCCCTTTCTCCCCTCCTGATACATTTAACAACACATCCTGCTCACCTTGGGAATAGGAAAACTGGACAGATTCATTATTCAGGAGGACTTGGATTTCACTCTGGCTCCCCAAGGTCCACTCAACCTGCAAATCATGGCAGATGTCCCAGTCAGCCCCTCTGCTCATCCATTCATGCCATGCCCCCATACTGGGGACATTTAAGCTAAACTCCATCCTCCTCCAGGCACAGCAGAGAGGTTCAGTGCCAGGGGCTGTGTTGGTATGTTCTGGGAGGTAGCAGAAAGAGGAGAGGGGATGGTCCTTGGATCCTGGCCACTTGTACGTGGCCCAGAGATGATGCCCAATCTGGACAGGGTGGGGCTCTTCCATTAGAAGCTCAAACTGATACCCAGGTCATTCCTACTCACTGTTGCTGTGGTGGTGGTGGAGATGTACTGGGCAGCGAAGGCCACAAAGTTGGTGGCCTGGGCTGTGCCAGTCTGGGCTGTGCGCCCCTGCAGCACAAAGCTGGTCTGGGCATCGCTGGCCAGCAGCAGGACAAAATCCCCGAGCCCATTAAAGGTGTAGGTGAGTCCATCCAGGGTGGTCATGTGGGGGTCCCCAAAGGCACCAGCTGGGGTCCAAAAGAGAGAGAGTCATTTTGGAGGGAGGAAGAAAAGGAAATGCTGGTGTCATTGCACGGAGGAGAGCAGCCCCCAGTGCTGAACTGGGCTCAGCACGCCCCACCAGGATGCTGAAAAGTGTGGTTGATGCATGTGTAGGGCCCTGCCACCTGCCCAACACCTTGGCACAGAGGAGGTAGAGCCCTGGGGACTCACCAGGGGTGGGTGGCACGTATCCTTCACAGCTGACCCTTGGTCTCTTCTCGGCAAACCTGGTGCAGAACAGAGGCTTCTGCACATGCCGGCAGCACCAGTCGAATGCCTCCAGCTCCCTGTCTGTGGAGGAAGGTGGCTGGGTACTGGGGGGTATCGGGGTCTCCACTGCACCCACAGAGCACTCAGTGCTGGGCTGGGGGTGTTTTAGGGTGAGGGAGCCCTGGTGCCCACTAACCAGCGGTGGGGTGGGTGGGGGAGCTCCAAGTCCTCTCCTGCCAGCCTTCGAGCAAGCTCCCATCTTGGTACAGACACCGCACCCCAGCTCCAGCTGGGCTGGGGGACGCAGTGCGCAGCATCCTCATGGAGGGGTTCGACGGGCCTGAAAGAGGGGGGAAGGGGGATCACGGCCACCCCCAGAGAAGGAGGGGACCCCCTGCCATCCCCCCACCCTGCGGCTGGCCCTGGGGGGGCTGCGCATGGCACCTCTGCTCCGGCGGTAGCGGGGGTCCAGCTCTGCCTGGGGCTGGGAGCAGGGGCATGGTGGCAGCTGCCTGTTCCACGTGTCTGGCGCTGGCTCTGTGTCCAGCCACACCAGGCACTGCAGCCTGTAGTTCACCTGGGAGTAACTGTCCAGCCTGTATATCCACAGCCCACGCACATCTGGGGGAGCAACCGGAGAACAGCACAGCTCAGCCGGGGTCTCACCTTGTGCTGAGGGCAATCCCATGGGACAACCGTCCCTGGCCATTGACCTCACACAAGGTCTCCAGGCTCCCTCTAGAGCCGGTGTGTCCGTGGCAAGCCACAGCGGGACATGGGACACCTGTGCTCTGGTCTCGGTGGCCAGCCTTGCCCAGTGGCCTCGCTGGCCCATCGCCTCGCAGAGACACATGCTGGGGACATGCTCCCAACATGAAGCACACAGGTCCCTCCATCCCCACCCGCCCCGAGGGCTCCCCTGATGCCCTACCGGTGCCAGCGCTGCTGTGCTGGTCAGGTCGGTACTTGACAGCTGGTGGCTGTTGAGTCAGCTCATTATTTTGGGCATAGCCATCACCACTGTGTGGAGAGAGAAGGTTTGCGGTCACCCTTCCAACACAACCCTCCTCCACTCCCCATAGAGCAGCTGGGATGGGAACTGCTGCAGGAGAGTGGGTTTAAATGGGACAGGGTTGCTCCGGAGGTGGGAGCTGGGCTCTACTGGGGATAATGTCTCCAATGGTCCCAACATAGTGCCGGGAGAAATCCCTGCTGTCCCAAAAGGCAGCCACATATATGCAGAGCACCTGGAGAAGCCGATCAGCACATTGTGTGCAGCCAGTTTGGTGTAGTCCCACCGCATCCCACCATCCTGGTAGAGCAGCAGGACAAAGGAATGACTTCCGTCAGTGGTGAGGACTGCCTGGTAGGTGTTCGTCTGGAGAAACCCAAGACATCCCTTTAGCACCTCAAAGCCTCCCCTGCTCTCCCCGCAGCACAGAATGAGGCAGTGAGCCCTGAAATGCCTGCATCAGGCCATGGGAGACCAGCAGTCCATCCCTGCCCTGGGCATCACTGGTGACAGTTCCCTCCAACACCTGGGTCCCCCACTGCTCACCTGAGTGTCATCACGCCGGGATGGGTAGGCTGGAGCCTTCTCCCACGTCACCTTCAAGGTCCATTTTGCTGTGTAGGGGGTTTGCAGGTATTTCTCAATCTTTGCTTCCACGTCACGGACAAGGGGATCTCGGGTAGAGCTGAGGGTGGAGTACTCCTGCCAGTTGACAAGCGAGAGGGTTAAATGGGCGAGCTGAGATCTGGGGTCTCCCAGGAGAACATCTTTGGTGGCCCCTACCTGGTACCAGGTGGTGCCAACACCCTGGGAGAAATCTGCATCATCCCAAAAGGCAGCCACCATTGGCAAACCCTTCTGGCCGCTGAAGCCCCTGGGAGGTGGGTTGGGGTTGGAGGCGACATAGTTCTCCGTGGGTGGGAAAATGATCTGTCCGTTATCTGTAAACTAACCAAAATAACTTGTTATTTGCAGAAATCCCAGGCAGCTCCTGGGCTGGATTTTATCCTCCATGGGTGAGCAGAAACCAGTCATTTTACATTGCAAAAAAAAATCATCATTCAGATTAAATTTGATTTCTGCTCTGCTTCCACGGGTTTTTTTTCTACCAAAGAGGCTGCACATCCCTTATGTGCTCAGCAAGGGGTGGGGGGAACTCACGTAGAGAGCATCCCGCAGCGACATCCCGAAGGGGAACCCAATCTCTGGCTTGAACAGGGAGGAGTTAAAATCCACCGTCCTCTGGATGCACTCTTGGTCCCCTGCCTCCATGCCAAAGGGGTAGAGCGAGGCTGCTGGCACTGCCACGGGCAGAAGATTAATCAAACAGGTGAAATACCATTCATGTGTGCTCCATCCTCCCTTCGGCCAGGGCGAACTCGCCTGCTTGCCTCCAGGATGCTGTGTCTCTTCTCCCCCCCCCGCTGGACCAGCATTCTGATGGCTTGCAACCCAATTTTTAACCCAGCTGTTAACTTGGAATAGGATGCTCTCAGGTGTCTTATTTCACCTTTCCCCATGAATCTGGCAGCCTAACGTGCGATGCAGATGAGTCACCCCAGGCCAGGCTGTACCCTCAGCCATCACGGTGCTTGGTCTCGGCTGATAACCCCTTCCTGCTCTTTGCTTTGGAAAGAAGAAAATTTACTTACTGCTAAGGCTGTGGGTGGGTTGGGGCTCCGGGGCAGGATTTTTGTGGCCAGCGGTGGTGTGGGCAGATGTGCTTGGTGCTGTGGTCAGTCCCTTCTGTGTCCCAAAGGCAGGAGCTGGGGCTGTGGCAGGGCTAGTGGTGGTTTGTGCCCTCCCTGGTGCCATGGTGCCTGGAACCGGGAGACCTCCCGCCTCCTTGGCTGGGCTCACTGGGGCTGGGGGTGTAACAGCCACAGTGCTCTCTGCAGTGACAGCCGTGGTGGTCCCTGCAGTGATGGTTGTGGTGGTCCTTTCAGTGGGGGTTGTGGTAGTCCCTGCAGCGATGGTTGTGGTGCTCTCTGCAGTGATGGCCGTCGTGCTCTCTGCAGCGATGGCTGTGGTGGTCCCTGCAGTGATGGTTGTGGTGGTCCTTTCAGTGGGGGTTGTGGTAGTCCCTGCAGCGATGGTTGTGGTGCTCTCTGCAGTGATGGCCGTCGTGCTCTCTGCAGCGATGGCTGTGGTGGTCCTATCAGTAGTGGTCGTGGTAGTCCCTGCAGTGATGGCTGTGGTGGTCCCAGCAGTGATGGCCGTGGTGGTCCTTTCAGTGGGGGTTGTGGTATTCCCTGAAGCAATGGCCATGGTAGTCCCGGCAGTGATGGCTGTGGTGGTCCCTGCAGTGATAGCTGTGGTGGTCCTTTTAGTGGTGGTTGTGGTAGTCCCTGCAGTGATGGCTGCAATGCTCTCTGCTGCGATGGCTGTGGTGGTCCCTGCAGTGATAGCTGTGGTGGTCCTTTCAGTGGTGGTCGTGATAGTCCCTGCAGCGATGGCTGTGGTGCTCTCTGCTGTGATGGCTGTGGTGGTCCCTGCAGTGATGGCCATGGTGGTCCTTTCAGTGGGGGTTGTGGTATTCCCTGAGGCGATGGCCATGGTGGTCCCGGCAGTGATGGCCGTGGTGGTCCCGGCAGTGATGGCCGTGGTGGTCCTTTCAGTAGTGGTCACGGTAGTCCCTGCAGTGATGTCCGCGGTGCTCTCTGCAGCGATTGCCGTGGTGGTCTCTGCAGTGATGGCTGGGGTGGTCCCTGCAGCAATGGTTGTGGTGCTGTCTGCAGTGATCGCTGTGATGCTTTCTGCAGTGACAGCCACGGTGGTCCCTGCAGTGATGGCTGTGGTGGTCTCTGCAGCGATGGCTGGGGTGCTAGCTGCAGCAGTGGTTGTGGTGGTCTGTTCAGTGATGGCCATGGTGCTCTCTGCAGCGATGGCTGGGGTGGTCCTTGCAGTGATGGCCCCTGTGGTGGTCTCTGCAGTGATGGCTGTAGTGTTGCCTGCAGTTTCTCTTTTCTCCCCCCAGGCAGGTGGCCCTGGAGGTGTCTGAAAACCAGAAGGTGACATGCTCGCTGCCTGTTCCATGGGACCATTGCTGATGGCTGTGGGAGAAGTGGCGCCTGCTGTCAGCTCAGGGGATGTCTGTCTGGCTGTTGGGTCCTCAGTCACACCAACACCAGGCAGGGACAAAGAGGCTGGTGCTGGCTCCTCCACTGAGCTGTGCAGGCTTGGGAGGGGTAAACTGGGCACTGCCACCGAAAGGGTGACCCAGGGCGCAGTTGGCTCCTCGGAGGCGGTATGCTCTGCTGGGGATGGAACAGGGTGGCTGCCTCCACCTGCTTTGTTGTGCATTACAGGGAGGGACAGGGCACTGCTGGTGCTGGTGGCCTTTGCCATGGCAGATGGCATGCCTGTGGTGGCCCCAATCTCCATGAAGGTCTTCCTGCCAGCTGAGGTGGCTGGTGGGATGGTGTTGCTGGGGAACACGCTGGTGGCTGGTGTGGTGGCCAGGCTTGTGCTGGTGGTGCTGGGGACAGGCACATGGGTGCCGCTGATGGTGGCTGGGGGTGCTGCACCCTCAGCTCCACTCTCAGAGAGGGTGGTGTCCGCCCAGGTGGTGGTACTCCCAGCATCTGACTGAGATGTAGCTGTAGTTTCCCTTGCATCTGTGTGGCCAACAGAGGAGACCTCAGCCGTGGAGTCATCCTCAGCAACAGGGCTGAAAGCCCTCAAGGCTGAGTCATGGGTGCCATCGGTGGCTTCAGGGGATGGCCTCAGGGTGAAAAGGGGGCCATGTGGAGCCAAGGCACTTCTGGGGACAGCAGAGGCTGGTGTTGTGACCCTGTTGAGACTGGCATCACCTGCTCCCACTGTTGAACCAATGACAGTGATGCTGGGGGTGACAGAGGGTGCCACCACCACCAGATGGGTGTTCCTGGGGACAGAAGGGGACATACTGACATCTGGCTGAGCAGTGCTGTGATCTAGGTCAGGGGAAGGTGATGCAACCAGCTCTGGAGCTGTGTGCGACACCGTGCCCACAATGGCCACTGCTGTAGGGTTTTTGCTGCCTGAGGAAGAGTGTGCCAATGGGGTGGCATCACTGGTGCCTGGCTCAGCCACCCCAGCTCTATCCCCTGTGGTGGGAGAAGCCGTGTCTGTACCCGAGTCCATGCTTGTGTCCATGTCCATGTCCATGTCCATGTCCATGTCCATGTCCATGTCCATGTCCATGTCCATGTCCATGTCCATGTCCATGTCCATGTCCATGTCCATGTCCATGTCCATGTCCATGTCCATGTCCATGGCAGGCTCAGCAGTGCCATAGCTGTGTTCTGATGCGGCTGTGCTCGGCTGAGCAGCGATGCTGGCTGTGGCAGGGAGTGACACCAGCAGGGCTATCCCCTGGGCAGCGTCACCACCATGGAGGATACCTGTCGCAGCACCCACTCTTGTGTTTTCAACCAGGGTTGAACCCACCTGCATGGTGCTGCCATCTCCTGCTGGCTGGGACCTGTCTTCCCCTCCTTCCGTGACTGTGTTTTCAGGGGGTAGTGGTGTCACAGGCTGGGGTGTCTTCTCAGTGGCAGTGTTGGGGAGGGAGCTGGCCATGGCCAGTGCTGGGCTGGGGTTAGCCACAGCCAGCAGAGCCGAGAGACCACCTCTGGGAGCCAGGAGAGGCAGGTCTGCTGGGGACCTAGTTTCAGGAGCATCAGTCCCTTGGGCAGGTGGCTCTGGTGATGGTCCAGTGGTGACAATCGCGTGGCTGGGAGCTGACCCCACTGCACTGGCACCTGAGTTCTGCTCCATGTCCATCTCCAGGGATGCCACCCCCACTGCTTGCCCTGCAGTACTGTCACCTGAAGCATCCATTGCTGGTGGGGAGATGTTTGCTTCCATGTCTTGGGGGATGCTGGATGGGAACACCCCCAGAACCATCCCTGCAGTGTTACTGCCTTCCAGGAGAGGGGGGATGCCTGCTTGTGATGCCACAGGGATGCTGGCTGCTCTGGGTACCCGTGGGGTGTCCGGTACAGCTGTGCCTGGTGCAGTGCTGGGTGACCACGTCTCTGTCCCTGGAGTTGCTCCATGCTGGGGCTCATCCTGGAGTGGTGGGGCTGGTGCAGATCCAGTTCCTGGGAGAGCTGAGCCCACAGTGGGACCAGGCTGGCTGTGGCTGGGAGATGCATCAGGCATGACTGGTGTGGCTCTGGTGTCCCGCAGCATTGTGGTGGCATTGCCACTAGCTAGAGATGCTGTTCCCTTCCTTGCTTCACTAATTAGAGTGTTGCTAACGAGGGAGGATGAATGAGCGGCTGTCCCAGTCCCAACACCGTACGCAGCGATGGAGGATGATGCTGCAGCAGCAGCTGAAGTGGTTCCATCTGGCTTTGCTCCACCGGTGACTGTAAGGGACAAGGATGTGGAGGATGTGGCCACGCTGGGTCCAGCTGGTGGGGATCCACCTCCATCTGCCTCTGTCAATGTGGCCCCAGGGCCTGCTGAGGAGGTCTGGGGGAGCAGAGACCCCATGGAGTGCACGAAGGGCCCCTGAGAGGGACCACCAGGGCCATTGAGAGGCTCGTGGGGGGACAGCCTCACGCTGAGCCCCACTGGTGTGGCCTTGGTCTCCGGGGAAGCGGTGCCTGCTGTGTCTCTGGCACTAGGCTTGCTCCCGACACTCACCAGCTCAGCGCCGGCGCTTCCCAGAGCAGGGACCGATGCGGTGGGGATGTGCTTTGCAGTGGTGGCATCCACCGCCATAGCTGGTGTGCCTGGAGCTAGTGCGGTGGCCTGGGGGTGGGTGACAGCGTTGGCTCCAGGCAGCCCATCTCCAGCGGTGCCAAGGTCCACGCTGTGGCTGGGGGGAAGCGTCTCTCCTGCGGCTGGTAGAGCAGCACGGGGGACATGGGCCGAAAGTGCTGGAGACTGCTGAGCGGGGTCCACAGGTGGGTCCTGCGAGGCTTTGTGGCCGGTGTCGGACAAGGCACGTGTCCCTGGTTCTGTAGCCTCACCGATGCCAATGATGGCAGAAGAAAAGGTGACCTTTGCCGAAGGTGCGCTTGGGGGGTCTGCAGACGGTGGGGCTGCCATCCTGGCTCCTTCCATGGCTGCGTGGGGGGGAACCCCAGGGAGGCCAGCAGCAGGGCTGGCTGAGGCTGTTGCTAGCTTCATGGGGCTGCCCGTGTCCTGAAAGATGCTGGCTCCTGTGGCTGGAGGTGAGGTGGCCTTGTCCAGCCTTGGTGTGACCTCCTGGGATGGGAGCACGGCGATTGCATGAGGCTCAACAGAGCTCTTGCTGGTGCTGGGGGGTGATGTCCCTGTGCTGTGCTTGTCCTGGGGGAGCGATGGCACGCTGGTCCATGCTGTTCTTGGCATCCCCTCCGTGATGGCAGCGTTGCCCAGCTGCACCAACTTTTTGGCATCAGCCAATTTGCCAGTGACCGAGGAAGACGCTTTTGTCCCTGGCACTGGTTGAGCAGCCGGGATGTGTGCCACTGGTAGGGACAGGCCCTCACCTGGTGCTGAGGGGGCACCTCTCAGAGCACTGGCAACAACCACGGATGGTTCAGCTGCAGTCCCCTCTTGCATGGGGACAGTTGTTCCCAGGACTGGATCTCCAGGGACGTTGTCCAGAGCCACTCCAGACACTTCCATAGCCTGCTTGGGAGCAGCACTGCTGTTTGGTGGTGGTTTCCTTGTCGCCATTACAGCGGGGACACCTGGAGCTGGGGATGATGTGGCTCTAGCTGGCCCAGCACCACCACCACCCATGGCAAGACCCCCTGTGTGCCCGGTTGGAGTGAGGAACAGAAGCTGCCCATGCCGAGTGGTGGTGGGAGCCGGAGGGACACCGGTCGGGTGGCTGGCAGCACCTGGAGAGGAGACCCCAGCCCCTGCCCCTACCTGGGGGCTGCCTGGCATTGCCAGACCCCCGGGGAGAGCTGTCAAACTGGGAGGTCCCTCCTGCTCACCACTGGTCCCGGCTGGGATCAGTGCTCTCGCCGTCACCTGTGGCACCAGGTTGCCTGTGGGACGAGACAAGGTGGCCCCAGCTGGATCAACCCCGCCATGGCCCCAGCAGGAAGGAACCTGCTCACAGCCAGCTGCCTGCCAGCCTTACCTGAGCCGTGGCTGCCCATGGAGGCGGTGGCCCTGCCGGTGGGAGAGGGGTGCTCTGGCTGGGTGACCGCGGTGGTGGGGAACGCCTGGCACATGCCCAGGTCTGGAGGCAGCTCAGAGCTGGTGCTGTCGGACACAGAGGGGATGCTGGCCGGCTCCAGCGCAGGGACAAGGGGCTGCTCCTTCGTCCCCTCGGCTTGCGCTGGTGGCAGAGCAGGTAGGTGAGGGCAGGATGAGGGAAAAAAACCAGCCCAGGGTCCCCATCACCCCCATCCCTCCTCCCTGCTGCAGGAGGAGGGTGCCCTCAGCCCCTGGGGCTGGTGGCGAGCACCACAGCCAGAACACCTCTGAGAGTGAGACGGGCACCTTCCCCATGGGCAAGAATCCCCATTTGACCCACAAGTCCCCCCCAAACCCCTTGCCCTGCTGCGGTTGGTCGGGCAACCATGCTGAGGCTGTGGCACCAGCGGGTAGAGACGGGGCAAAGCCTGACCGGGCACTTGGGCTTGGACTTGCAGCCGGAGAGTTGTTCCACAGCCCGTCACCCATCACCCAGACGGTACTGGCCACCCAGACAACCCAGCAGTGGTGCGGGAGACCCCGGCACTTACCTGGCAGTGCCCAGAGCCCCCACAGCACCCAGGTCCAGAGCGGCCACTGGCCCCAGCACCCCATGGTGCTTCCTCGGCGGCAGGGACTGGGCTGCAGCTCTCCCGGTCCCAGGGGAGCGACGCAACAGGGTGGCTCCGCCGGTGAGCACTCCCCTGGGTGGGGGGGACGGACAGGGACGCCACGTGCCCTGCCTGGGGCACTGACCGCTCAGTGTCCTCGCAGCTTGCCACAGAGGTGGCCCCATCCCAGTCCTGGGGACCCACTGATACTGGGGGATGCCCATTTTTGCCACGGCAGGTTTTAAGACCCTTAAAACCCAGGGTGACCCCACGGTTGACACCCCAAGGTTGGTGTGTTCCCAACCCCCAGGGAGCACCCAACGGGCTGCAAAGTCACCAAAGGCCCTGGGGTGGCAAGCAGGTAGAGGGGTTCCCAGCACCTTTGGGAGGGATGGGTCAGTCCTGAGCCCTGCACCCCCCCATGCAACCCCCCCCCCCCATTTACTGCTGGGTCCCCGCCACGCTTGGCCGATAACCCCTGGCAGGGGTTGGCTCGCCACCAGGGAGGAAGAAGGAAGGAGCAGCCTCCCGCGGCCGCCTCGGGGTCCCGCGTGTTAACCCTGCCCCGGCCCCACTCCTGGCACTGCCGGCACCGCCGCCGGGGGCCTGCGTGCAGCCGTTATCTGTGCCATCGCGGCGAACGCCCACGCCGGCCCGGCTGGGGGGGGTTTGTTCCTGCGTTGGGCGCCGGGGCTGGGCCTTGCCCTGGGTTGCAGGTCACCTTCCAACAGGGACAGAGGCCAGGCGCACCCAGCCGTGCAAAGGAACCCAGTGGGGCCGCCATGGCTAACACAGGTTGGCTTCTTCACAGGGCCCAGCCCAGCTCCAGGATCATCTATGGAGGGGGAAATAAGTCGGTGAAGGTGCTGTGCCTTCCTCACTTCATTAACACCCACCCCATCGGGCCGCCATGCCATGGTAGCTGCACCTTAGATGGGGAAACTGAGGCACGGAGCACCCAAAGCACCTATGCATGGCCATGTCCGCAGCAGCACCCACCAACAAACCTCCCTGTCCCCACGCTCAGGGAAAACCAGGGGACCATTGATGAGCACAGCCATGAGTGCACATAGGTGGCACGGCTGGGTATCACCAGGCACAGGGAGGGACCCATGGCCATGCTAAGACAGCCCTTCCTTCCAGGTGACTCACCGTGTGTGGTAGGTTCTCTCCTCTGCAGCCACCAGCTCTGGAGCAGAGGGCATCCTGGGGACCAGGTACCACCAACGCCCATAGACCCAGTGGTGGTTTGGACACTGAGGTCCTCCTCCACCTGCACACCTTCCTGCTGCTGCTGCAAGGTGGCACCTCACGGAACCCAGCTAAGGGGGCTCTGACATCCTTCTGGGGGGAAAGTTAGCACTGCCACCCAGCCTGGGACCCCATGGGGGCTGGCCCCTTCCCCCCCACCAGCACCTGGCTCCGTCGGTGCGGTGCAGCCGGTTGCACAACGCCCCTCGCGTGGGTGGGGGTGCGAGGCAGGGCCCGCCACTCCCTGCCCGGGCATGAGTCAGCCGGCGGCCGGGAGCCGAGTGGGGCTCCCCTGCACGGGGGCATCGCCGTGGGCAAGCACTGCCTGCTCACAAGGGTCAAACCCACGGCAGAGCCTTCAGGCTTCGGGGATGACTCCAGCAGCCTCGGATGGGGAGACCTTTGCACCCTAAAACAGTTTGTGAGCCATCACCTGGGGGGGGCTGTGGGGTGGTTTATGGGTGCCCATGGCATACAGCTCCCCGGGGATCCGCAGCACATGGTCATCCCCTCCCTGGCACCCTGCACCCGGGCTCCAGCCCTGCAGCAGGTCACAGTCCCACACGCCTGCAGGGAGGAACCGTCACCCATAGAGACACGGCCTGTCCCCCTGCACTGGCAGGGATGAACCTCGGAGACAGCCAAAGGCATCCTCCTCCTCTCCATAGAATATTTTTTTTATATATATATAATATATATATATTAAAATTACATTTCTCTTTACAAAAACAATTCAACAAGGGGCCAGGGAATGGAGCCCATGGCCAAAGCCAGGGCACAGCCAGCCCAGCAGGTCTGGGGCACCGGGCAGGTTCCCTTTCGGGGTGTCTCCTTCCCCCAAGGTGGGGTTCAGGCCAGAGTCCAGCAGCAGGTTGCGTGGGTGGGGGTGGGACCCGGGGGGGTGGCCCCGTGGCGAGATGCCTGCTCCGGATCCGACGCAGCTCACCCCGTCCCCGTTGTCACCGCCTGCAAGGAGAAGAGAGGAGAGGAGATGAGGTCAGGAGGGGTGATGGTGCCAGCTGGCCAAGAGCAGCATGGCATGGAGAACCCACCCCCCCCCCAAAGAAAAATCTGTGCCCCTACTTCTGGCGGGTGGGGCCATAGGGATCGAGGAGGTGGGAGCTGGCCTGTGCCAGGTTCCAGTCGAACATCTCCAGCACCCGGTGGCACTCGACACGGGACTTCAGCCCCAGGCAGAAGAGCTGCTCCACCTGCAAGGGGACAGGGCATGGTGACAGGGAAGTGACAGGGGTGCCACCACTCTTGTGGGAGCTGGGACACAGGGATGGGGGCATGTGTTACCTTCAGGTACTGGATGGCCCGCTGGACGCTCCAGTTGTGGTTCTGCAGGGCTGCCTGGCACTCCTCAGTGGTCACACCGTGAACTGTGTCCCGCACCTGAGGGGAGCTTGTGGTCAGTACCCACCACCACCCACAGGCAAGGAGCCTGCAGCTGGAGCAGGAGGTCACCAGGGCTGCCTCCCACCCTGACTCCATCCCTGGGAAGCACTGTAAGTCTGGAACCGGGACCATCCTCATCCCTGGGATCTTCAGCCTCTCCTGGGGTCCGGTGCAGACTCCTGGCCACCACGGACCCAACCCAGAGAGCCCAAAGGGACTGCTCTGGAAGTAGTGAAGGGAACGTAGTAACAGCTACCTTCCTCCCCCCTCCCTAGGGCCCTGGATAGGGCTGATTTGGGTTAAAAGGGCCTGCAACCCCCATTTTGGAATTGCAGTGACAGGTCTGTCCAATAGCACACCTGGAGACCTCTTGTAGCCAACCTGCCAGGGTTGAACTTGGAGAAACTAAGGCACAGGGTGGGGATGGCTCTTGCCCAAGTGAGCCCATGGCCACCACATCTCCTGTTGCTCGTGGACACCAAGGATGCTGCTTACCAGCCGGATCTTGTCAGCAGGGCGGCAGCCATCTGGCCCGTCGTAGACAATCTTCTGGAGGCTGCAGGAGGCTTTCACCAGGCACTTGGGTCCGGGGTTGCTGTTGTTGGAGGAGAAGTTGGCCTTGCAGTCTGGTGGTGGCGGCGGCGGCGGCTGCTGCACCATGGGACGGACGGTGGCTGTGGTGACCAGGCGGGACGCCGACACCTCCTCGGGGCTTTTGGCCTCCTTGAAAAACTTCTCATATTTGTCCAGGTAGGCAGGGCGCTCGGGCAGCAGGTAGTAGTGAGTGCTGCTGACCTTCTGCCCATCCTTCACAATGGGCAGGATGCAGGGACCCTTGGAGCAGTCCTTGCCCTGTGCCTGGATGACCTTGGGGGTAGCGTACTTGGGGTCAAGGGCAAAGCTCTGCGTGGTGGGCATGGGCTTCCCCGGTGAGGTGGAGAGGCAGGAACAGAGGGCGGAACGCTGTTGGGGGGAGCCCACCTGCAGGGCCATGGGGCTGGGTGTCCGGGAGGTGGGCTGTGACAGCGGGTCCCGGGGAGGAATCTGGGGTGGCCGGTCTTCCTCGCCCCCCGAAGCCGGGGAAAGCTCCCCCGACCAGCGCCCGGGCTCATTGCGGCGTAGGGGCCGGGGTGGGATGGGGACACGGGGCGGGATTTGGGGTTTGTCGTCAGCGGGGGCGGCTGGTCCCAGGGGAACGTTAAGCCTCTTCATGCACTCCTGCTGCAGCTCCTCAAAGAGCTCGGTGGTCTGTGTCAGGCTGGG